CTCTTTACTATCCTGGAAAAGTTATGTATTGTAGTTTTGTAGCATTGTATGTTTATCATCTTATTATTTTTCCTATGCTTTCACACATGTACTTTCATCATATTTCATCAGGATACAAATAAATTAATGTATATAAGAATAAAGTTCTTGAATTTAGGGAAGAGATTTTAACAGTGACTGCTAATAATCTCATCATTTGTTACGCCATCCTTTGCCCGCCATAAGAGGGCGCTGTATAATCTTGCTAGTTTTTCTGTATCATAATATATGTATAGTGAGTAAGGAATAAATGTCTTGTCCTGAATGGCGGTGTTGATTTTTTACTGATGTGGGAACCAATTTACGCCCCCTTTCACAAAAGAGGTGAACATTTTTTTGGGGGAGGTGTCAAAAGTGGGATAGGTGATAATAACGTGTATCATCAAATTTTGTGTGAAAGAATAATGTGGTGGTATGGGAATATGTGTTGCGTGGAAATCGAAAGTGAAGATTATGGTGAGTAGTTATTTCGGTTTGTTGTAATAATGTTTAGTGTTAAATTCTGTTTATTAATGTTGTGTATTGAGGTGTTCCTACTTGGTAATTTGAGTTGATAGTGTCTGTGTTGAGTTTGATGTGTTCGTTTTTGTGCTCTTTGTGTTCTACTTGTCAATTCAAGGTTGTTCTATTTTTCTTTGAATTAAGATGAGTCTGAAGTCGCTGAAGTCATTAAAAAAGACGATTTGACGCTCGTGGCGGAGGAGTTGGGACTAGTAATTCCGACCGGGGCGAAAATTGTTACTTTAAAAACTTTAATAGGAAGTTCAGAAATTTATGCAAATGATGCGGAATTTGTGCAAAATGTTATTGATAATATTCTAGAGGAAAAGAAAATCCAAATTGAGTATAAAAAGGAATAGCTACTTTAGAGAAAGCGAGAGTGTTAAAGAAAAGTTCTTTAATTTCTCTAAATCCGTTCTTAGACAACAGTGATATACTACGTGTAGGAGGACGTTTAAGAAATGCCAGCTTACCGGCCTCTGTGAAACATCAAATAATATTGCCTAAGAATCATTCCTGTTACAAAATGTTTAGTGACATTTTATCACCTTAATTATATGCACGGAGGAGTACAATTAGTTAAACTCTGCGATGAAACAAAAGTATTGGATTATAGGAAGCAAACACTGCAATACGCAGAGAAATAAGAAAGTGCGTTATCTATGCCAGATTTTGCTCCTGAGTTTTCGAAACAAATGATTGGCTGATTTACCTTCTGCGAGAGTGAATCCCGGAAGACCATTTTCTTAAATGCGGAACTAACCTTTTCAGGACCAATTCTTGATCAGCCCTAGACAAAGGTAGAGGAGTTAAACCACTGAAAATGTATGTGTGTGTGTTTGTATGCTTTGCAACGAAAGCTGTCCATTTAGAATTTGTTAGTGATCTTAGTGCTCAGGCATGTATTGTAGCTCTGAAACAATTCATAGGACGACGAGGAAAGCCAGCTGCTGAAGTATTCAGGTTATTGTGGAACGAACTTTATCGGTGCAAAGAATTACTTAAAAGCGTGTATGCTGGAGGCGCTTGGTACTTACTTGACCAACCAGACGTTAAAGGCGTTAAATGGACACTAAATGTTCCGTCAGCCCTTCATTTTGGGAGGCTGCTGTTAAATCCATGAAATTTCACATATGATGTGTTATATAGAATCGCAGATCCTCTCACGAGAAGAATTTTCAACGTGTCTAGTGGAAGATTGAAGCCATACTTAACTCCTATCCTTTAGTGGCTGCTTCTGAGGACCCAAATGATTTTTTTGTCATTACTCCCGGTCACTTTATTATCAGTTCTGAGTTAAAAAGTGTTCCTGAGCCTAATGTAATAAATGAGAAAATTCCCATCCGTGAATGGTGGAAATTAGTCACACAGATTTCCGAATTATTTTGGAAATCGTGGTCAAAGGACTATTTGACTCAGTTGCAAGCGTGTAACAAGTGGAAACTTCCCAGTGACGATTTATGTCTGAATGAACTTGGTGCTAATCAAGGATGAGAACTTGCCGCCACTTAAGTGGAAGATGGCAAAAGTAATTTGCACTTGCATGGGAACTGACCAAATTGTACAGTCAACTTAAAAACTGCGTCAGGTGAAATGAAACGACCAATACATAAACAGGTCAGACTTCATGACTTTCATGACTATAAATGACTGATTGAATTATTTCTTCCATGTTTATAATTATATTTATAGTTTGTTTAATTTTTGTGTGTTGCATTATCTTTCAGTTTATATTTCTAGTTGGGCTGATGAGGGGGTTATGGGGACCCAGTGTGTTACGCCATCCTTTGCCCGCCGTAAGAGGGCGCTGTATAATTTTGCTAGTTTTTCTGTATCATAATATATGTATAGTGAGTAAGGAATAAATGTTTTGTCCTGAATGGTGGTGTTGATTTTTTAATGAGGGTGGAAACCAATTTCCGCTTCCTTTTACAAAATAGGTGAATATCATTATTTTCACCCAACATCTAGAGTTCTTGAATTCATTTTAGTATTTACTTGCATGAGCCAATCTTATAAATGGGCATATCTCATGAATATCATATTTTAAATTCTTTAGTTTAGCTTTTGTGTTTTGTTAATCCCACAAACAGTAGAACCTTCCATTACTATACACATTGAGTAAATTGTTTGGCTGAAGATCTAATAAAAAGGTTTGTTTTAACCTTTTCTTGACTTCATGTTAAGAAACCAAGGCTTGGTATGGTTCAATAAGCCCTCTTGCTACCTTAATGGAGTCAAAGAATATTTTAGGCTCTCAGGTTTGGTACAGCCTCATATACACTGACTACCAATAAGTATTTGGACAACTATGCAAATGACGATATCTGCGGTCCTAAGGTACATCACGGACTCCGCCGGTATATATTGTGTAGGAAACAGCATCGGGTTTAGTCGCATGCAAGATGCCTCGCAGTTCGGAGCTCCGATTCGAGAAAGGTATAATTATCAGGTATCACAAAGTGGCCGATCCTTAAGGGACATATCTAGTGATCTGAAGTACCCAAAATCGACAGTGGCCTATGTGATTAAGAAGTGGAAGGTGAGCGGTGATTGTCGGAATGTGCCGAGTCGGCAGACTAACGAAACTGGGAGATAGAGACCGACGAGTGCTGTCCAGAGAAATTCAGAAGAACCGCACCCAACCAATGGCCCTCATCCACGAGGAGTTTCAACAAGCATCTGGGAGTATTGTTTCAATGAATACCATCTGTAAGGAAGCACATCTGCTTGGTTTTCATAGTCGTGCTGCTGCACATAAGCCTTTGATCACAAAGTCCAACCGCGCTGCTCGGTTAATGTGATGCAAAGCACATCGAAATTGGACCGTAGATCAGTGGAAACGGGTTCTTTGGAGTGACGAATCAAGGTTCACCCTTACCGTTGGATGGCAGGGTCTGGGTCTGGCGTCTACCTGGAGAACATCTCCTGCAAGAATGCATTGGGCCAAGTTAGCGGAGGTGGGCGGCTTATGGAATTATGGAGAGTTTTTTCTCCTGATATGGGCTGGGACCCTTGGGTCCCCATTCATGATAAGTTCAACTCCGATGCCTACTGCACTATTTTGGATGCAAAAGTGCTTCCCACATTGTGGCAGTTTTACGGGTTGGACCCCTGTTACTTTCAGGACGACAATGCCAGTTGTCATGTTTCGACGTTAACAAGGCTTGGTATGGTGCCAATGGAGTTCCATCGAATGGACTGGCCTGCCCAGAGTCCAGACCTGAACCCTATCGAGAACCTCTGGGATGAGTTGCATCGCCGAATTCAGGGGTGCACTACCCGTGCAAAATCGGTGAAGGAACTTCTATGTCTTCTCCAAGCCGAGTGGAAGAAAATACTACTACCGTAATTTCTGGACCATGTTTAAAACTTAAATTTTCAGCGGGTGCGGCGTTTCTACACATGCGGCGTTTAGGTGCACTAAAAATAAAATATTTCCTACGATGGTCATTGTACATAGTTTGGATGGCCTTGTCATTGTGCATGGACTGGTGCTATTCCCACACAAAAGACCACTCAGTTGCTTTTTGCGAACGTTATTTTGTTTACATTCTTTCCCTTGAACGGACCTACATGCCTTATTCACCCTAAACGAGATCTCAGAACAATAACATTCTTCCCCTTTCAAATCAACATTCTCATCAGTTTGAATAGTCTCTCTTTTCTGCTATTCGATGAATCTTCCAGGACCCATCCTCTCCCCACCCCTGCCTTTTCTGCAATTTTTTTCAAAGGCGGACACGACTCCACCTGCCTCGCAATAACGAACTCTGGCGTATTTCCCCTTCAGCATGAATGGATTTTTCTTGGCATTCTGCCAAATACAGATCCCATCAGTTTGAGTACAAGTATTTGTTGGATAGTTTTTAAGTAAGAAGGGAGTGGAAAATTTTTGAAAATGTCTCTAAATGACACAGAAGCTATACATTTCTTACCTTTAATTTATTTTTGAGTTATGGTTTCATTTCATGCATTTTTCTTAACTGGTATGTCATATATCAGGAAAGTTAGTTTTTCTTTTCTATCGCAGGTGTCCAAATACTTATTGGTAGTCAGTGCAGAACAACATAGTTCTATCAACTGAAAAGTGGGACATCTGAAAGGCTTTATATTTTAGCATATTTTTTAAAAAATTTTGTTGAATGGGGATTTGGGCTTTTGTTGAGTTGGGGTCAATTGGATGGCAATTTAAACAGGTCTTTTAAAACTGGAACTTAAACATTTACTTATTAAAAAAATAATAATAATGTAAATTATGACAATAAATTATAAAGGCCAGTAAAAAATTTAAAATAAATCTCCATTTATTTTTTTTGGGGGGGGGTAGTTTATTGATGCAAATCAACATGCATTTTAAAAACTAATTTAAAAAATTCATTAATAGTGCAATGAAATATATTTAACAGTAATTCTAATGTGTAATAACTTATACCTAGGACATTTAAATTTCCCTTTAGATTGTAAACAATGGTCTTCTGCCAGAAAATCCTCTTGCATGGTATGAACCACATAGCAGTTTTAATGAAAAGGGCATCTTTCAGCAAGAGACCTTGGCTGTAGGATATCAGCAGAAATGTATGTATTTTTGGAATATTGTTTGGAATTTTTGGTACTGCAAATCTGTCATTCACACATACATGATATGAAATACAGTCAAAAGTCTTTAATCCAAATTCGTCGGGACTTCGGCGATTCCAGATTATGAATTTTTCCTGATTATAAATCATCAGTTTAAATCTGGTAAGATGGCATGCAGAAATTATAAAATTAAAACTCTGAAACCGTAATTTATGAAATAAAGAACAATTATTACTTTATTAAACATTTCTTTCAACGCGCGCATGAGTAAAGCATACATTACACATAGTCAAAAGTAGAAAATAGCAACCAGAAAACTATTTGATGTGATATTTATAATGAATTTGATTTAAATCATATCAAAGACGGAGTACATCGAGATGAAATACTACATCTAGTAATGAATTATAAGCCGAATAAAATAAAAACGTCTGCCCCTGAAGATAAGGATAGTGCTGACGGATCAACTTCCAGTTCATTATGCGCCGCCACGTTCCCCTTCCTCGCAGAGCAGCGTGAAATTCATAAACTTATTTCGGAATGGTTAGAGAAAGGATATGCCTTTATCCTTTTTTTGCAGCAATTCCACTTTTTGTTTGATGGACATCAAAATATGCTTTCGCTTTGTAGATCCTTTGGTAGCTCCAGCATCGGAAATTCTATTTGACATAATCGAAAGTTCAAGCTTACTTTTATAAAATTGCTCTAACAGTCTGCAAAAAATAATAAGCTGGATACAATTCGAAAATTAAGGAAAAACGCAATCTGCAACATTAACTGAAAGAGATAATTAGATAATTTTTAGCTTAGCTTATACCATCCGTTTTACATTAAAAGCGCATGCGTGCACGTTTATGCGCATGCGTAAAGGTATTACGGCATGCGTAAAAGTATTCCACGCATGCATAAATGCATATGCGCATGCGTGAACGCATTATGCGTTGACGCATACACAGAAAGTTTGTAGTTTTGAGGTCCGGATTATGGGCATCCGGATTAACGACTTTTGACTGTATTTCAAAAAAAAAAAAAAAAAAAAAGTTCCTCTCTAAGCTCTGTTAATGTTTTTTAAATCTTTTATAATGTTGTATGTATACGAAATCTTTATAATCTTTATACCTTTTATAATCTTGTATGTTTTAAATCTTCTATGTATATGAATGGGTGCCTAAATTTTACAGTTATATCTTATCAGAATTTTCTTCTGTGTGCTTCAAAACATTTTTTTAAACAATTTAATATTAGGATGTTTAAAATGATTTTGGAAATGTTCTTATATTGGATGCTTGGCAAAACATATGTGTTTGCATATGATGCCTTTTAAGAAAATATTAATGTTATTATTGCTTTTATTAGTTTGCATACTTTATTATTGTAAGTAATGGAAAGGATTTTAATTTTGAAACTAATATATTTTGCAAATAGACTACAACTTTTGTAATAAATTAATATTCTCTAATGGAAATAAGCCTTTGAGCAAAGTTTTAGCCATCGGAAATGATATTTTAATTTTAATTTTTGATATTTTTTAAAACTGATCCTGTGTAAAATTTTGTTCTTTATCATTATTTGTAGTTTAGAGCATAAATATATTTTTTTTAAGAATAAATATGCATGTTGCAGGTATGTCAAAAATTGGCTTCCTTCTGATATTTAAGCATTTAAAATTATTCATATATGCCATCTCTTTGCTTATCTGCAGTTTAAATTACAGAGACATTTACTCATTTTTAGAATGAATTCAATAAAGAATTTAAAAGTAAATGAATAAAATGAAATAAAAAAATAAATAAAAAGCAAACGTTTTGGAATAATAATTTCTGGAAATAACTTATTATTTGTAATGAAATATCATTGGCTGCTATTAAATGTATTCATCTTTCAAAATGTTGCATATAAACAAGCTGTGGATTGAAGGATATGTTTTTGCTTCTTCCCAAAAGAAATATTTCGATTCCATTATTAAAAAATATTGTGAAATGCATGGTATTAAAAATTTTTAGTGCAAAATAAGAAACATTATTATTCAGAAAGGAGAAAAAACATCAGTTATTACTTTTACATGGAAAGAAGGCTAGGAACGAATACCTGAAAAAGATATGTATCGTTTCAAATGTTTCTGAAGTTAAGTCATTAGTAACAAAGGAAAGTCTGCTGACACAGAAACCAACTGAAAACTTTTTAAATACATCTGTAGCACCAATAAATAATATAATAAACAAAATTTACAACGTACCATCTCTACATATAATAAAAGAAAGAGTCTGTCTGTGTGTGTTTCTTTCGTTCGCACTGCGCGTAAGCTAATAGACCCACGGCTACGAAATTTGGTACATAGGTGCATCTAGACGTAAGCCAGTGCACCTCAAAGCGATTTTTTTCAAAATTCGAATTTGATTTTTTTTTTTTTTTAATGTTTTATGACGAAATCGCGTCATTTTGAGACATAATGGGCTATAGGAAAGCGAGATTTTACTCTACACACTCCATTTTCACATCGTCATTAAACTTAGGCACTTAGCTATTTTACAAACTTAAAATAAATTTCGTGTTTCAATAAATCGATTAAATACGAATTTATTTAACGAAGGGAACTTAACACCTTTTCAACGGGATATTTTCTAAAAAAGTTTATTTTTAAAAGTGTACAGTTTATTTTTCTTTGATTTTTGGACACGTTAAACTTTCATCCTTGCGACTGTTTTTACAAAAAGAATTTTGGAAAAATAGTAATATTTTGTATTTAAATTTTTTTTTTTTAAATGAAGCTTCCGAGTACACTTCTCACATTTCACATCTTTAAAAATGTGATTTTGGCAACAATTTTCCTTTCTTATTGTTGATAGGTTTTTGATGAAATCGCATCATTTTGAATAGTTTCATTCTTTTAGAAATATGGGTTTGGCAACAATTTTTCATCGTATTTCTTATGTCAATGTTTTTAAGAGATTGGCATATTTCATTGTCATTTATATATATATATATAATACATTTTTTTTTTTTTTTTTTTTTTTTTTTGAACGAAGTTGTCTGTAGAGTAAAATTCTTCATGGAATTTTATGTTTTTTGAGTTGCCTTCATGTTATTTTTTGCATATTTCACTGTTTGTAAAGATATTGAAAAGTTTTGCATCATTTTTTTTTTTTCTTCAACGGAAAAGTTGGTTAATTTTTATTAGGATAATTAATATTTGTATTAAGGGATATAGCTTATTTCATTGTAATTTTTTTTTCTCTTGAAAATATAAGATAAAATATCATTAATTATACTTTGCTTTTCAGAATTTTTTGTTTTTTGTATTCTTTTGTGATATTTATTGCTCATTTCACTGTTTTTAAAATATTGAAAAGTTTTGAGTGATTTTTTAGGAAACAAAGTTCTTAACCTCCTTTATACCATTTGAGTTCATAAGATTTTGCAAAGGGAAGTTGGTTAATTTATTTATTAGGATAATTAATATTTGTATTAAGGGATATTGCTTATTTCATTGTAATTTTGTTATACGTAATAACTTTTTATGAAGTTGTTATGCAGAGTAAAATTCTACACAGTTTTTAAATTTAACATTTGGTGTTACCATCAGCCATTTTTCCGGTACATTTAAAAGCCAGATGAAGGCCGGCAGCAAAGCTGCTAGTTTCAAATGTTTCTAAAGTTAAGTCATTAGTAACAAAAGAAGGTCTGCTGACCCAGAAACCAATTGAAAACTTTTTAAATACATCTGTAGCACCAATAAATAATATAATAGAACAAAATTTAGAAATTAAAAAAGCTAAAAAACACAATATTCACCACCTTTTGCCGAGGCATGTGGCTTAACACAGAACAATTTGCAAAACCCTGTATGGAAACTATTTTAGCAGGAAATAATGGAAATACATTGTGATCCTTGATGAAGTTTGGACATACCTAAATAATTAAAAAAAAAAGAGGGGGGGGACCCTATTTATTATCAAAATTGAAAAAGAATGTGCAGATTTGTTTCTGTCAGTCTGAGTAAGGGGTTTGTAATTGTTCCAAGATTCTTTTTTTTACATTGGGAAATCAAAAATAAGGAGAGTGGAGAAAAATGTTAAAATTAACACAGTGTATTATCAGAAGAGAGTTTTACATCCAGTATTTACAGAAAAAAATCCATTTCTACATCCCGCCAGGTTGGAACTGTACAAGGCCATGTAGGCTTAGTCATGTTCTGGGTGTTTTCTCTTACCAATGTTTGGAATCTTTACTACTTGTACCAACCTCCTTCAATATGATTCGGTACGTAGAGTTGCTGGGTGATCATCTCCATTCATTTATCTCATACTGTCATTCACTTGGAAATGGAGTATTCCAGTAAGATAGTTGCACCTCTTACAGGTCCCGGTCGGCTACTGCTTGTTTGGATGACCATTCCTCTTACATTTCTATCATGATTTGGCTACCTAGAAGTCCTGACTTAAATCCTATTATGCACCTTTCGGATGTTTTAGAGAAATGCGTGAAACCACAACTCTAATGACCATTCCTGAATTATGGACAGTTCTATCCAATGTTTGACGACCCATTTCTCAGAATGCTTCCGCAAACTTATTGAATCTATGCTTCGTTGTGTGGCAGTCATTATCAAGCCCAGAGGAGGTCTAACTCATTATTGACTTACTATCCCTAATTCAGTGGCACTGCAGTGTATATATATATCTACACTTATATATATATATCTTTGTGGTTTCTACATTTTATAAGTCCAAGAATTAAAGTTTCCTTTTAGAAATAAACAGAATCTTTACTTTTTGAGAAAGCAAGGCGATCAAAAAATATCTGTAATATACTTTTGTTCGAAGTACTTACTGTTTGGATGCTGCTGCTGTAATCTAATTCATTATAAGAACTATTTTAATTTATTGAAAACATTTGAAAAGCCTTCCCCCCAAAAAAAAATCATGGGGCAAAAAGGTTATTGAATAAGACTGAAAACCATGGTTTAATAAAGAGGAGTTTCAAATTTTTTAGTTCCAATTAAAATCTGTTCAGAACATTTTTATCCACTTTATCTGGCCATTTGGCCATTATACAGTATAAAAGTAGTCTTTAGAGGGATTTGAAGACTGAGATTCAAAAAATCAAATGTAATGTATGTATGTTTATATATTCCTCCCATTGTGGAAAACTGACAGCACCTTAAACTCGTCAGATTTTTAATCCCTGATCAGATAGTCCGTCTGAACATGTGCACTGCTGAATTTTTTAAAAAAATATTTAATATTTTGTACAAATTTAATGAATTTTTGATTAACAAATTCAGCAATTTGAAAACAGGAGTAGTTAACACTGTTAAAAAAAAACCTTTTTTTTTTTTTTTTTTTTTTTTTGTTTAATAAAAGACTGTTGACAGGGCAAAATGAAAAATAATTATCTTTTAATCAAAGTCAACTGCTTAAATGCAATACATCACCACTCTTTGAAATAAAATATTTTTGACATACAGTAAAGTATAAAATATTTAATACTGGAATTTAATTTGTTTTTGATTAACGCTAGAAAGACTGAAACTTAGTATATATTAACTTATGTATATTGCCCCAAAGCAGTCAAAATGACTCCATTGTGAAAGAATAACTAATGTGTAAAGAAATTTGTTTAAAATTAATTTTAAAATTATTTACAATTATATAACGAGTTATTAGTAAATATTAACAATAAAAAATTACTTCACTTGGAAAAAATTAATTTATGCATTATTATTGTAAAATTTTTTGCAAATGAAAATGGAAAACTTTTTATGTGTACATCTTCCGCAAACATACTTTTGACATTTTTCATATATATTCGTCCCCAAGTGTAATGTTAGCATAAAAGGTTGTCATACTCTTGTTATTCAATTACTAATATAAAAATAAAGTTTAGACATCACTGAATGAGTTATTACTGAAGCTGTCATGTATTGATAAACATGCGGTGATAAAGGCAAAATATAGTAAATGGCGACTTGCCAGGTCGGCGTCAGGGATATAAAATAGGTGAATGTTTCGGTTTGAGATGTATGCCAAGCAGATACTCAGCTATGGAGCCAAATTATTAATCTCACAAATTTATCCTTACATGATTGTTTTTTCATAACGAGATATTTTATTTAGTGCCTAAGGCAAATTAAGAATCAGAATTTTTAAGTGAAAATCTCCACATGTTTTATTATGGAAGGAAAAATCAAATGCTCATGTGTAAAGCATATATATATGCTTTACACATGCGCATTTGATTTTTATACATTTAATTTTATATATATATATATATATATATATATATAAAAAAAAAGGTTCGTGGCTTTGAGGTCCGGATTTTAGATCATTCTGGATTTCGGACTTTGTACTGTACTACTTTAGCTTATTGAGAAACTGCAACCAAATTGACAATTTATCATATACTTAATCTAAAAAAAATGAAAACTGTTATTTCAATACAGAGCCGAACTGGTCATATAAGAAATTTACTCAATTCAATAATAAGATACATTTGATTATTTAAAATTTCCCAAGCAGTCAAAATCACTGCTTTTGGGCAATATAGGTATGATACACTGGAAAGAAGGGGGTTTAACTACAATTATTAATAAACACATTTATACCACAAAATTCTAAGAAATTGTGTTATTATATACATAATTGTTTTTCTAATTGAAATTAAGAACCAGTCAAAATGACTTCCTTGGGCAATCTAGTGTTAACAAACCAAGTGCATATAAAAACAATAATTGCAGTTTTTAAGAATATTTTTTCTACTTTTAATTCTGATTCATTTAAGTAAAAGTGCATTTGAATCAGAGATTAAAAATATTAGATATTTTAATATCAGAAACTTGAATTATTCAGTTTATTTGATGTTGACTTGTTTTTCATTTTTTATCTTATTATTCTTTATATTAATTTGTATCTTAATTTTGGGCTTGTTGATTGATCTCAAATATGCCTGTTTTTAATGCTACTGATGTCTTGTTTTTGCAAGACAATTCTGAATGATGAAATTGATTAATTGAATGATAAAATGATTTACAGTGAAACTGATTTCATTTCAAGATAGTGCTATAAATTATGTGATAAAATTAATCTGAATTTTTATTTGATAGCTCAGCCTGTCAAAGTATATGATGCAACTTTAAATCACAAGAATGAAGATGTACTGGATAAAGTTAGAAGCAAATTAGTTAAGAAAAAAGTACCTGATGCTAAATCTCCTTTCACATTAGAAGGAAAGTCTGAATCAGCCCCCAAAGCTGATGATCATTTCAAATCAGCAGAGAAAATTAGTAAATTATTTTCTTCAAGAAAAGGTCAAGAAAATAAAATCCAGAGGGAGGATGTTGTAGTCATTTCTAGTTCATATTCACCAACTATGCATAATAAAACTATTACATCTGATGTGAAAATAAAAACTCCTCTAACATTTAAAGAAGCCATTTCAGCAGCAATGTGCAGAAAGTCGCAGTCTTCACCAATATTTGGTGCTCCTAAAAAAAGTGATACATTACCAAAAAGGGAAACCTTTTTCACTGAGCAACCTCTAAAACCATCTAGCTCTTTTTTCAGCAAGCCTGCCTCAGCTTTTCTTTCTTCTCACACCTTCAAATTACACGAAAGAACACCACTGGGAGGTGATATAAGTGCTTCTCAAACTGATGTTCAGCAGATGTCTACATCTACATTTTTTAAAAATTTTAAATCAACAAAGGTGAGTAATTTTTTAAAAGACTAAATACAACTTTAAAGTATTTTTGAAATTATCTCATTATTATAAAGATTTTTAAAAAAGTTTTTGAATCAAAATTGAGGGTATGATTAATTTCATTTCTAGTAATATTAATTTTTGTGCTAGGAAGTGTTCAGTTTTATATGCTTATTTTGTTTTAGGAGTATGATGAAAAAGTAATAAAATTAAATTTTAAGAAGCAAAAATATATATTTAATTTCCCATAAAATTTTTAACTGCACAAAATAAAATTATACTAAGGTAATTTTTTAATATTATTCTGTATGGTAGAAAACAAGATTTCTTAAAATTTATGTTAATGAATATTTAAAATGTATGGTTTTTTTAATTCCCCTTACTTTTTAATTTCTATTTTATGTTTTTCAAACTAAAAAATTATTAGAATAAAAAATCAACTATAAAATTTAGTTAATTAATATTTTACACTCTGAGATGTGCTTATAAGAGCAAATTAATAAACATAAGCTGAACTCTGTTGTGAGGTAGAAAACTGAAACAGGAAAGAAAGCTGATTGTCAAAGAAGCAGTTTCCTCTGTAAGAAAATTGATGTGTTTGTATGTAGTGCTAGAAGGATCAAGCATTATTTTGTTGAATCAAAAACGTATCTAATCTACTTGATGCTCTGTAACACTATTTGCATATGAGAACCAACAAATAGATGTATCAAAGTTGGATTCATAATTAATAGTGGATTCATAATTAATAATTTTCTTTTCCACCAATGGAAGGAGTAAGAATCAGTGAAATCTACAAAAGAAAAGAATGGGTGCTTCTCTTATCAGATAGTATAATACAGCTCTTTCTTCTTTGATGAGTTAAATACTATTTAGATAGAGCATACTTATTCAAATTATATTTCCTGTTATAGGGGTCAAAGATTGCACTTTTTATTGGCAAGAACCTTCAGCACCATATAGTTGACAGTATGACTTTGCTAGTTCCACCCCCAGTTTTGTTGAAGAGCACTCTAGGGGTGATGGGTCTGATGGTCTCCTACCTTTTTTCCCTACTATACCAACCTCTTGAGAGGGCTTCCAGCTTCCCGCAGTTTTAAAGTGCCCCCATGCTTTACATACATTATACATTTACAAATATACATGCCTTCTCCGGGATTCTAACCCAGGCTCTTCACTACAGCAGACGGCATCGCTAATCGCTATCCCGTGTCTTGTTACATTTCGGTTGATTAGACATTACATTTTCAGGGCTATACCAGCTCCAAAAAGGTACTATAATAAGGAAGTACAGATTTGTGAAAGCATTTTTCTCAGATTTTATTAAATTTAGTTACTCAGTATTTGTTAATTTATTATTATTAATATCATTATTAAAGAGCTATTTAAAATATATACATTAGAATTAGGAAATAGTGCTATTTTTGAAGCAACTAAAATGTCTGAATTCTTCCTATTTAGTTTAGTGCCAGCCCTGAAAAAACTATATCTGTTGAACCAGGTGATGTGCCTATGGATGGTACTAGTGTTAGAAAAGAGCAAGAGATAATAGCAAAGTAATTTTTCTGCAATTTTTTTGCATTATGTTGTTTTAAGTTTATGCATTTTATTTTTATATATTTCATATATACACATCTTTTGAGCCACTTTCATCCCATTCACATATACCATATCTTTATTCTCTCGTTCACTATCTCTCTCTCTATATACATAGTATATGTACATAAATTTTCATCTAGGCCTATGGTTCCAAATGTTTTTTCACTTATATATATTCCATTAAAGACCCATATTCATAAAATTTGACCTTTGATATTTGTGAAATTCAAGTAATTACTATAGTTACTCTTATTTCAGATTTATCAGTTATATCTCTACATAAACAGCTGAATAATTGGACTGAATGCAATAGTAAGGCCAAACATAATGCATGTATATTTATATTCAATTTTCATAAGCACAAGTTACTTAATGGAAATATATAAAGTAATACATTACATTTTTTCAGTTTAAGGAATTCATGAACTGTAATATGGTTTTAAATAATAAGTGTGCAATAAATGGTTTGAGTATTCTTTGATATTGTTTAGAGCTTAATTTTTGAAATTCGGTTAATCTTATATGAGTTTATTATTCAAAATTTGGAAATGTTCTTGCATGATTTATTTTTTTATGAATATACAACGACTAGCTGTTAATGGGAACAATGTCACACTCTCATTTTATTCTAGGTGTTAGAAAAATTAGATTCCTTATTTGTATATATCTGATGTGTTGTTTATTCATATCTTAAGAATAAAATGTTTTTTTCATGGTACCATTTGAAAGTACTTATCCATGCACTGCATACTAAAATTTGTATGACAGTACCCATTTGTTATATGAATAAATCTATATTTCATTAATTCAGTATGCCATTTTCATTCTTCACTTGGTAAAAGATTTAGAGTTCTTTTTCTATTGTTACTAAATTTTTTGTGTATGTCTAAATGCAGGAATACCTTGCTCAGCATTGTTAATTAGTTATTCTAAAGTGTCACTCTAAATTAATCAGCAGTGAGTGAAACATTATTTCTACAGGAAAATAAGTAATTTGCTCCTATTGAATTCTATTAAAACAAAAATATTTATGCATTTACCTAAAATTAACAGAAAATAATAAAGGGATAAAAAGTACTATATGTAATTAAAGACATTCTTGTTTGTTTACAAAATCAAAAAGAAAAACATTTTTTTTAAACCAGAAAATTAATGTTTTTTTTGCACCAATTTTCTTCTTCTTTTCTTTGTTCATTGTCTGATAATAAATGATTCCATTTTCTAACTTTCACCATGTTCCAAGGCTCCTTTTTTTATTCGAATATTTTTTTTCAATTAATTTACATGCTCTTCCAGTGGCATTTAATAATTTCTTTAGCTTATTCAATGTGAAGTTTTTCCCGTTTTCACAAAATCTTCAGTTTTATTTCCTTCTTCATAAGTCTGTTATTCTTCTCTTTCTTTATTTTATTCTCTTTTCTATTTCTCTTTATCTTTTGGCCTGAAGACTCATTTATTTTTTTATTTCTTGAAATTTTGGCACTGGATGTACTATCTTCATGAATTTTAATAATTTTTAGCTTTTCTTGCAAATTTAATAATTTACATGTGTTTGGTTTATTGCAACTGGCATCAGATTTTTGTTTTACGTGCCTTATAAATGGGTTTAGGAAGGAATTATAAATAAAAAATTTAAAAAACAAATCAGTTGCTAAGAATGAGAAGTGATCATATAATATGGCTATTGTCGAGATTGAGGGTAAGTTTATTCTGTGAGTCTGCCATGTATTTTTGGTGAATGAACATTGTGTGCATGACCAATCAGCACTGTTTGTTTTGACAGTACGTATTTAGCGTTCAGTACTGTATTTAGGCTGCATTATTCTGGCACAGAATCTTTCTGACCTACACAATAATGAAACCATCCAGAAACAAAATCAGTACTGAGGGAAATTTATTAGTCAAATTACTAATTATACTACAGCGGGGTCAGTATTGAGTGAAGACACACATGCGGGGTATTCCTGTATCCTGATTCATATTCCTTGCGAGTGCCTAAATAACCTGATTCATATTACATAATATAATTTGGGAATCCTTGATTTAAGATATTTTTATACTTATGATTCAATTCTTGTGTATGATGCTTGTCTATCCATTACTGCATTAGCTAAAAATATCAGATTTTTCTTGATAAACCCATGAAGCTATGAGTGGATGAAGATATTACTAGCATGTCTTCTCTAAACATTTTATTATTTATTTATTTTATTATTTAAAAAGGGTCATACATTGAGTTGTACATTGAATGCACATTGAGTTGAATTTTTTTTATGTCTCTACTTTTTTTTTTTTTTTTTTTTGTGTGTGTGTGGTGTGTGTGTGTGTGTGTGTGTATTGAATAGGTTCAAAGTGATGCAATAATATCTAAATCAATAATATCTTATCTTTTTTTAATAAAATATTTTTAATGTAAGTAAGATTAAATCGCAGAAAGAATTACTGAAGGACTTCTAGACTCATCTGTATGTAACTGCATTGAAGAGCAAAATATTATGGCCACCTACTCAGTAACACATGTGGCCTTTGGCTTGCAAAACAGCTGCAGCTTACCTTGGCATGGATGCCACAAGTTTTTGGTAGATCCCTGGAGACAAGTTGTACCAAATGTCTAAGTAGCAGTCACACAATATCATGATTCCGACATGGAGGTGTTTGAGCTCGCAGCTGTCGTTCCATGACATCCCAAATGTTCTCTATCAGGCTAATATCTGGCAAGTTAGGTGGTCAGGATATTAACTAGAATTCATCCTTTAATATATTTTTTATACTTACGATTCAAATCCTGTGTGCTGCACCTTGAATGCTCATCAAACCACTCCAACACAATTCGAGTCTTGTGACATGGGGCATTGTCCTGCTGGATGACTTCATTTCCAGTTGGGAAGACAGATGTCATGTAAGGGTGCAACTGATCTGCAGTTATATTCAGATAGACCACAGCTTTTATGGTCTGTTCTAAGAAAACTAAGGATCCCAGAGCTGTCCATGATAACGTCCTCCAAAGAGTAATACTGCCACCACCAGTCTGTGTATGACCAGCTGTGCAGGAGGCAACTGTCCATCTGGAAGACGGTGTACCCTGAAACGATGATCTACGTGATGAATGAAAGATTGTGACTCATCCGACCAGGCCACTTATCTGTGGTCCAGTCTCGATGTTTCCGTGCCCACTGTAGGTATAGTTGACAATGATGCATGGTCAGCAGAGGCACATGAGTGAGACATCTGATGTGTAGTCTTATATCTAACAGTGTCCGCTGAACTACATATTCCAAAACACTTGCACTTGGATTGTATTGGGCTGCCAGCTGAGCCACCATCTTGTATGTACCAAGTAGGACAGTCTCTGGTGTCCTTTTTCTTTAATGACTTGGGGATGACCAACATCTTGCCATTTACTCCTGTTTTCACAATCATTTCTCCTCTTTGTATAAATATTAAGAATAGTAGCTCATGAACAATCTAACAGTTCTGCAGTTTTGGAGGTACTCTTTCTGAATCTGCGGGCGGTTACAATCTGCCATCTATCAAATTTGTTTTAATTAGCAGCCTTTCTCATCACTCATAAAAATAAGTACAAGAATAATCCCTTACCTTTTCCAGCAGCAGTTAAATATGTTCAACATTTAAAATGCCATGGTTCGATAAACAAACATTTATTACAGAGTAATATGCAGAGAAATACATGCAGGGATTGAAAAAGTTTACAGAGGTTATATATATAAATTTACAACAGATCATGTTTTAGGAAATCATAAACAAGACACAATAAACAACTAATCAAAAATAACATAAAGATTGGGATTAAGTTTCAGAATACATCGGACCTGACAGAAAGCTAATGCATTGGACGTGACAGAAAGCTATACTTCTTTTAACCAATAAAAATGCGATTACAAATATCTCAACACTCCCCCTTAATTGCACATTATAGAAAAGATAGAAGAATTACACAATTTTTAAATAGCTGAATGAAAATAGTTCATAGAATTTTGTTTTGGACAGAGCCTTAGTTAATATATCTGCGATTTGTAAACTTTATTGTACATATTCAATTTTAATATTATTTTCTTTAACAGTCTTACGAGTGAACTTTAATTTCAATGTATATGTTTCAGCCTACCTGAAAAGTTTTCATTGACATTACTCTTAATACCTGACTGGTTATCTTCAAAAATTTCATTTACTACATTCTTTATCTGTAAAACATGTTGAATACCTTTGCATAAAGCAATTATTTCAGCTTCTGTTGATGAAAGTGCAATACACTTTTCTTGTTAGAGCACCGCATAATAGGACTGTTTGAATACATTATAAAGTAACCAGTAATTGATTTCCTATTTTGAGAATCTAGGCTTAGTCACATTTGAACAATTTTTTAATTGTAGATAGTTCTACAACTATTGCAGGCATATTAACTAAAGGCAAAAAAACCTTAATCAGAAGATCATAACATAACTCAATCACTTTTAAAGCTAAAAATGCATAATTTATCAACATATAAGACTAACAAAACTGAGCTCACAAAGCCAAGTAACAAAGTGGGTATATATCTATATATTTGTACAATTTTGGTGAGGTCACTTGCAATCAAAAACAGAGGTGCACAACTACATACTATTGCAGTCCTATATACAAAATTTCAACGTTCTGAGGGTACTCGTTTTTGAGTTATGCGAGATACATACGTACAGACATGAAAAAAATCTTTTCTGAATCCATTTTAAATCAGTTTTATAATTTTGTTTGGAGGAAAAAAGTCCTTTATTCTGTGCTTGCATACGTATGTCACGCAAAAACATCATTAAATTGCATTTGATAGCGGTCAAAATGGATATTTTCATTGAAATATGATACCCAAAATGTTTCGCAATTACGTAAGGAAATATTGTAGCATAATTACATTAAGGAAAATGTTAACGATAAGGAAAATATTGTAATATATATATATATATATACAGTCAAAAGTCTTTAATCCGGGACTTCAGCGATTCCGTATTATCGGTTTTTCCGGATTATAGATCACCAGTTTAAATCTGGTAAGATGGCATGCAGAAATTATAAAATTAAAAATATGAAACTGAAATTTATGAAATAAAGAGCAATTATGATCTAAAGGGTATCACAATTTACAAAAAAAAAAAAAAAAAAAGCTTAATATTTATTTGTTTATTTTATTAAACATTTCTTTCAACGTGCGCATGCGTAAAGCATACATTACACATAGTCGAAATTAGAAAATTGCAACCAGAAAACTATTTGATGTGTATTCGTGATATTTATAATGATGATGAATTTGATTTAAATCTACATCAAGATGAAATACTACATTTAGTAAGGAATTATAAGCCGTATAAAATAAAATCATCTGCCCTGAAGATAAGGATAGTGCTGACAAATCAAATTCCAGTCCATTGTGCGCTACGTCCCCCCCCCCCAGCAGAGCAGCGTGAAATTGATAAACATGTTTCGGAATGGTTAGAGAATTAAAGGATATGCCTTTATCCATTTTTTGCAGCAATTCTACTTTTTGTTTGATGGACATCGAAAAACATGTTTTTGATTTGTAGATCCTCTGGTAGCTCCAGAATCAGAAATTCTTTTTGACGTAATCGAAAGTTCAAGCTTACTTTTATAAAATTGCTCTAATAGTCTGCAAAAAATAATAAGCGGGGGATCCAATTAGAAGATTAAGGAACAACGCAATCTGCAACATTAACTGAATTAGATAATTTTAGCTTAGCTTATAGTGTCTGTTATACATAAACGCGCATGCTTAAACTTATTATGCGCATGCGTTAACGCATTATTCGTTGACGCATGCGCAGAAAGTTTGTAGCTTTGAATTCCGGATTAAAGACTTTTGACTGTATGTACACATCCACCCTGTTGAGTTAAGTCAGCTCAGTTTTTTATTCTTATATGTTGCTAAATTGGGCATTTTTTGCTTTGAAAATGATTGAATTATGTTGTTCTTATCTTCAAATTAAGGTTTTTATGCCTTTAGGTCATGCCGTATTTGTACAATTATCAACAATTTAAAAGTTGTTTAAGTATGGCTAAGTCTAACTTTTTTTTTTTTTTTTTTTTTTTAACCATAGCAGCTATATTTGTTTTTATTTGAAACTTTTAAGAATAGTGAATTAAGTCAATTTCTGCACTTCGGCGTCTTTTTGCCATATGGGACCAAAAGAAAACTTTCAGTTTTTTTTGCACCAAAAAATCTCTCTACTTGTCCGCTGGCTGAATTGATTATTTTTGCATAGAAAGTCTAATTTGAATTGCAAAAATTGGTTTTTAAATTTTTTTTAACTGTATTTTGTGTTTTATATTTTTCAATTTTTAATAAAAATATTTTGAGTTTTTTATGTATTTTTGCCTCATTGCTGAGTGAGAACTGAATTAATTGAATGAGAACTAATTTCTAACGAAATTCGGGGAAATAAGTTTAAATGAAATGCAGGAAAATCTGCGTATCATTTAATATTCTGTGCAAGCAAGTCATGGTGAAGACATCAGATTTTTAAATTCTGTGAATGTAGTAATCTTAAAACTGAGAATATTTTTTGCTAACTGAATGATTAATTTTCCAAAGTGTTAGTAGTTCACCTCAGATTGCATTCCCTGATGGGCTGGCTGCATGGGGTTTTCAGATTGTGCGATTGATGAAAATAAGGGCGATTTTCTTTTAAAAGCCATCCACTTAGGCAGGTAGCTTTAGTTTGAAGTGATAATTAGTAGAAAAAATTTTTTAAAAGCTTTAGAAGTAAAAAAAAATTACTTATGAAAAATTTTCTTTTAAGTTTTAGAAGTAAAACATAGTTCTTTCAAATTCTATATCTGTTTTTAAGGAAGTTTAATAGTTTGGAATATTTTTCAGAATAAAGGATGATGAAATAGTAACCTCTTTGGACAGAGATCAATCACCAGATGCTGAAGAAATGTTATTAGATGAAAGGTATATATATTACTTATTTACCATATTAAATAAATAACACAACTTCATACATAGCATATATTTAGATGTTAACTTATGTAGTTGCAAAATAGTTCATTGATGCTGAATATTCTACTTTCTTCCTATGTGAATAATGCAAGTATGCTGTAATAGTTAACAGTTATTAAGCAAAAGACTTAAATAATGATTGTAGGGGGGAAAAGTATGAAGAATTTTAATTTGCATTTATTGTTTCTTCTAGAGCAGCATAAATATATGTTGTTTCCTAAAGAATACTTCAGTTATTCGTATGTTCAATAATAAATGTTTAATGAAGTTTTTTCAGAATATATTCTAATATTTTTAGCTTGGAAGCAAATGATAATGAAAGAGCATTGTCAGATACAGCCGAAAAAGTGTATGCAGAATGCATTAACGATTACTTTACTGAAGTTTGCGAAGAAGTTGTAACTGAAGAGCAGCACAGAAGAACTGAATTAGATGATATTAGGGAGAATATGAGACTTGAGCTGGCAAGATATGCTATTTATAAGTATGTATTACTTTAAGGATCAAACAAGTATTAATTTTAGTAATTAGGCAGTATTAATTAAAAAAAAAGTTTACATTACATAAAAGAAGTTTCTTTGTAATTGTAATGGATTGCTTATATAATGTAGTGATATTGTTATTAAAATTGTTGTTATTATTGTAGTTATTAAAATAAGTAGAGGAACTAGAGAAGTAATTTTAGACATCACAACAAAATATGATCAAGATATGAAATGCGTTGACCTTGCTGATCAGTATCTTCCCTATTATTTCATTTTTGCAAAAATGATTCAAGTTAAAAAAAAAAAAAAAAAAAAAAAAAAAAAATCCATGTTTCTTATGTATTGTGTAGTATTCATTGCTAATTTTAAACTGAATCCAAAATAATGTTTTCAAAATACTTGTTGGGGGTGGGGGAAATAGATGCTTGCAATATAATCCTCCTCACATACATTTAAATGACATAAACGTGAAAGAATGAAAACTTTCGGGAATCGCAGAGTATCATTAGAAACATTGTATAGTTTGTAAACATTGTGGAAAACGTACTGACACCTTGTATACGCGTGTATGTATTGTTATGAATTTTGTGCATATGTAAATAATTGTAGTGAAGTTATGTTTAAAATTATAGTATCTTTTGTATAATGTAACAAAAAAAGTCTGAAGAAGGCGAAGCTTTGCCAGGAAAATAAGAATACAGGGCCAAGTCTATTTAACATTGAGTATATGACTATTTTGCTAATTTGGCAAGATATCGCCAAAGTGGCAGTGATTTTGGCGACTAATTTTTGTTGCGAAATTTGGCAAGGACTTCCTAAAACTTGTCAAACTTGGCGACATTTTGTCTGGTCGCCTTATAACTGTAATTGTTAATGTAATTAAATAACTGTAATTGATCCCTACTTGTAACTGTATCCATCCCTTAGATATAACTTTAACTGTATATGTCTTCCAGTAATTTCGAGAAATGGAAGGTACTAAGAGATATCTTGATGGCCGGGTGAAAACTGTATAAGACCAGAGTGAGCATTTGCTCTTTTTTTTTTTTTTTTTTTTTTTGTGTGTGTGTGTGTGTGTGTGTGTGTGTGTGTGTTCAGAATGACTTGTGTAAAAGATGCTCCTTCCAACTCTGCCCGAAAACCAGAGGCGGGACTTTGAATGTCTATTTGTTGTGTTGTGAGGCTGGGCTTTGGTGAGAAATGTTTAAAATACTATAGCAGGTTTTAGTTAAAATGCCACCAACAGAAACCATGGTAACATTCTAGAAGCTCACCATGGATGTTGAGAGTTTGTCTCATCTCACTTTTTTGGAGTGTACATCAGAAACAAGGGTATCCTGTTCCTGGAGTACTTCATCCATGGCATGTGGGATCCTGAGATACAGAAAGACCTCCAAATGGCGGATACCAAAATTCTAAAAAGCACTTTCGTGTACACCAGGAATTACGAGACAGCCCAGCAAGCAACTCATAGAGACCACTATCCGATTAGAGCTGCTCAAGTCTAGGAGCCGATGAATCAAGTGATTGCTCATCTAGATAATTTAACCAGGCAAATCAGTGCCTTGAGACAGAATAGAAGCAGACAAACCAATTCTAAAGTGCTGGAACTGTGGTGGTGAAGGCGACATACGAAGGAACTGTAGAATGCCTCAAGGCAAGGAAAATAAGACCACTCCCTAGCAAAGATGCAGGAAGCAAATTATTGGCCATCTCACAGAGTGGAGATTATAAGATATTGAGAAGTCCCATTTTAAAGCAGTTCAGATTTCAGCAATGTAGTGGCAGCAGTAATGGACTTGTCGTCATAGGGCATATCAATAGAGTACCTTGCCAGTACGACCAGTAATACTGAAGCCCATGTTACCATCATCTCGAGAGATTTAGCTCAACAGGTGAAAGGTAAATTCATTGATTTTCTTTTTTATTTACCTCATGTGGAGCCTGAAGATGAGTGTTGTTTTTTTTTATTTCCCCCCCCCCCCATCGAACAGAACCATTTGTTGGGTCAGAAAATAATCAAATTTGGGGGGGGGGGACTTTTTTCGCTTCACCCTAATGTGCAAGTTTATGATTAACTAACTGAATGATTAATTTTCCAAAGTGTTAGTAGTTCACCTCAGATTACATTCCCTAATGGGCTGACTGCATGGGGTTTTCAGATTGTGCAATTGATGAAAATAAGGGGGAGTTTCTTTTAAAAGCCCTCCACTTAGGCAGGTAGCTTAGCTTGATGAAATAATCTAATTTGAAATAGATGGGCTAATTAATAACAATTGTTATGTGAAAGGAATCATTCATTAATTGAAATGAATGGTTTTATTTGGCAAAAAGGAAATTATATATTTTTCAAACTGGAAATGAAAATATTAATCTTTCTTGAAGATTTCAAAATGAAATTTTACATATTTTCACTTATTATACATACCATCTGCATTTTAATTACATATTTACATTTCTGCTTACTTGTTATTATCAATTCCATTTATGAGCTTGTTATCAGCATGATGATGTTTGTGCAAATTCAGGATGTCAAAAATGATATATTAAATGGGATAAAAGTAAGTATATGAAAATAAAATGAAAAAATTTAGCAAATAAGTGCTGTTTTAATATTATACATTGTAATATAACCATTATTGATCAAAATTAAGTGCAATGTATCAACATGTTTTAAAAAGAGGCAAAATTCACCTTTGATTTTTCAGAAAAGTTTTGCATTTTTGGAACTCTATATCAGCTGTCTTTGACTCAAATAAATAAAAATATTCTGTAATAACCAATATCAATCTAAGATTAAATTTTGCCTAATTTTAAATTTCAGTTATCCATATTTCTCATCCATTCTGTATTTTAATATAATTTGGAGGTAATAGAGGATAATTCATTTTACAGTTCTTTTAAGTAAAAGTCAATTAAAATTTGAAAGTATTCATCATTTCTTAATACTAAAAGTATGTGTTTTTATTTTCCCTCTTGAAAACCAATTATTTCTAACGTTTTTCACTAAATATAAACTTTTTTGCAGGTGGAAATTATTTTGTGAGAGAAAAAGACAGAGAAATAGATTTCAAAATTCTGTACCTAGCTCTCCATGGGTGCCTATGTTAATAAATACTGAATATGTGACAGCTGGAGCAGCAAGTCCTATTTCAGTGTATAAGAAGCATTGTTCAGTCTCAAAATTAACAGGTAAAAGAAAATTAAATTTATGCTTATAAAATATTTATTCAGTTTAACCATCTTCTTTATATAACTATGTGTTTTTCATTTGAATCAGTTTTATGTTCTGAAATATAAATGTTCATTTAAAATTAATGGCACAGCAATAAATCAACCAATAAAATAATTTAATATTAATAGTATTGTTACGTTATTTTCTTCACGTTCATACGGGGTTCGTAGATTTGGAGTGAGTAATGTCGAAACTACTTGATGAAGTCTCGAAACACACTTTATTGGCCAGTATCGTCAGGACAGCTCCAAAACACGTTTTTACAATCATCGATGAACTACTATAAACACGCTGACACAATCAGCGACACAGCTCCCAACTCTGCTCGGTCGTTCTCAGAACTCCACGTACTCTCGAGACTCTCCACACTATAACTCCCGATGCATTCGACGACACACAGAGCACGGCTCCCGACTCTTCGGTTTAGTCGTTCCCAAAGCTCAACACGCTCTCACAACAGTGCACTGACCGCGATACACTAAGAGACTCCTTCGGTGAACTCGGACGACCCACTCGGCACTCGCTGTCCTGCTGCCAACTCGATTGACTCGCTAGACGAGACACCAACTCGATACTGACTAGATAAAGCACACTATCTCACCCTCTCGATGAGGCACACTCGCTGACTGCGAACCAGCAGGGTTTATATAGCTTTCGGCTTGTGTTTGAGAACATTCTGGGCTAAACCGGTAAGAATTCGTTCCAGAAGGTTCTCCAACCATCCATGGTATATCGCCAATTTTGTCGCCAAATGTGGCAACCCTGCCTTTCTTTGCCATTTTATGGCAACACGAAATCTGCTTTGCGGGGAAGCTATCCCACCGTGCCTGTACATTTCGTAACAGTATTATCTCAGGTTCAGTTCTCTGGGGAATGAATGCATGCTTGTGGTTTTCATGGTTTCCAATGTGTATAACATAAAGGCTCTTAAATAGCTCTCCACCCCCCTGAAAAGAAAGAGATGTCTTCTCAACACATGCATTTTTCTTTAATTTCTTCTTATATATATTTATAATAATTTTGTAGTATCATTTTAGCACACTTTTTTTAAAGTTAACATGAGTCAGTAATTTTAAACTATTTTTATTAGCAAGACGTGAATTTCTATTAACACTGACAGTGTTTTTGTCAGGATAGATTATTTTTGAAAGAGTGGAAAATATCACACTTGTTGAATGAACTGCTACTGAACATTCATTGGATTTCAGGGAAATGTATTTGATTTATTAATACCTATCAGTCTGTTTAGAATTGAAAGTCTTTATAATGAATGATGTCTTTGATGGAATTGAACCAGAATAATTCAAGCAATAATTGGATGTTCTGTTTGCTACAGCACTAGTGTATAGAAGGGATGTTTAATTCTTTAGAAAGTCGTGTAGTCTATGGAGTGGCCAGGAAGGTTGCAAAATATCAGTTTAATTTGTTAAGAAGATTCAGCGATATTTTTAGAATTTATAATATTGGCATCTGACTTGAGTCTTGTAGCACAGTAGGCAGGCATTAAAAAGTATATTTTCCGCCCAACAGTATGCTATACATGGCTAATCATGTTTTTTTATACAAAGTGATCATATACACTATAGAATTCAAATATCTACCTTTTCCTTTTTTTCTGAGCAATGATCACATGGTAAAATTGCTGCACATTAGTAGTTTGATGCAGGCTCAAATTCTGGCAAATGACTGACCCCATGGAAGTTTTCTTGTTTTTCCTATGTCTAATATCAATGAGCCAATTCTGCTAAGAAAGCCCTTCACGAAATTCTACTAAGGGGCATACAAACCCTTCCTTAAGCGGATAACTCGCACATGCATTGCTATAATTCAAATAACTCCTTATCTTTTCTCTGTTCTGTAACGTTTTTACGTCAAATGGTATATTTGTGTAACATATTTTTACATTATTTCTGAATATTATCTGTGCTGTGTTTTTCATTAATTTCCTCACATTTCAATGTAGAAGTTTTGGGAATAGTAATTTATGAATGCTTTAATGTATGCATATATAAATTTTGTAAATAATACATTGAGAAAAGGACATTTATTTCAGTTGAATTATATAAAGAAATAAATATGGAATTAAGTAAACCAAAATAAAGTATAAATTAATTCAGAAGGTTATTAATCTAGTCAATACCATACTTTTCGGTACTGTTCTGTTATCATAACCGGCTTCAGAAATGTGTATATATATGCATCAATACATATGCATGTATTGAAGGATGATGGGTTCATGTATGCATGTACCATATGTACCTACAAATGTATATGTGTGTATACATATTATACAGTCAAAAGTCGTTAATCCAGACTCGTCGGGACTTCGGCGATTCCGGATTATAGATCATCCGTTTAAATCTCGTAACATGGCATGCAGAAATTCTAAAATTAAAAATATTAAAGATTTGACATTTGACAAGTAAGTTTACTTTTACAACATTGCTCTTACAGTCTGCAAAAAATAATAAGCCACATCCAATTCGAAGATTAAGGAACAATGCAATCATCAACATTAACTGAAATAGATAATTTTAGCTTATACGGTCCGTTATACATTAAACGCGCACGCGAAAACGTATTCTGCACTTGCGCACACGCATACGCGCAGTCGTAAAGGTCTTATGCACACGTGTCAACGTGGCGCATGCGCAGAAAGTTTTTAGCTTTGAGGTCCGGATTATGGGTGTCCGAATTAACAACTTTTGACTGTGCACATCCATCCATACATACATTTCTGAATTTGATCCCAATAATAGAAGAGTACCTCCTTTTCTAATTAAAAACAATAATGCATTTAATAAGAATGCATAAATAAAATTGCATTTAAATAGTGAGGCTTTTGATTCAGAGTTAAAAAATTTACTTTTTTTGTATAGAATAGTGATATCTTTGAAATGTAATGTTTTTCTCCCCTAACATTTAAAGGCAAATTAATGTAAACACATTTTAAGCGAGATCTCAGGATTTTTTATATAAATTAAAGCAAGATCAAGGGAAAGATATATTGTATTTTGTTAATACATTTGTTAATATTTTTGCATATTACAGACTTTAAAGAATACATTTTTATAAAAATTATTTCAAATGTTTGTCTTTTTTAGCTTCTAAACTAGAAAAGAAAAATGATCCAAAGCCAGGATGGGAATATTTGACTACCGAATATTTTTCATCTATGAATCAATTGCCTGATTTTCCAGCTGCTTATCTTTGTAATACTGGAGTTACAAAATTCTTCAAATTTTGTCTGGTGTTAGTTAAAAATGGGGAAGATAGCATATCATGTTTTATTGAATGGATGCAAAGTAAATTCAGATTAGCTGAAGTTCCAGGTAGCTCAGAAGAAGATGTGAGTATTTAAAATCCAGTGTACATTGTAATAATTATGCTTCACTGTAATATAAGAGCATATTTTATTGAGACATAATCACATTGTACCAGAGTCAATGAATTCAAAATGTGCCAGTGAAACTGAATCAAATGAGTCGGTTCATAAATTATTGCATTGGATTGCTAAAATTAATGAATAGCTAACTGAAGTTTACTCTTTTTAAAGAGAACCTAAATTATACTTTTATTTAAAAAAAAGTTGTCTTATGCATACCATTTAAGCAACTACATTGCTTTACAGTATATTTAAGATTCATGAAATTATTGTCCAATAAAATAGTTTTGCTTTGCAAAGGAATGGTTCAACAAAAGGCTTTGTAAAGCAGCATGCAAATAGGAAGAAAGAGTAAAGGCACGAATTGTGAGGGTCATTTTGCAATTTTCATCAGGAAAATACCTCTTACTCATAATCTTTTTGAAAAATTTAGGAGTTTAGAGCCCGGAACTTGTCTATTGCTAATTTAACTTGCTAATTTAATTAATATTTTGACCATAGTCATAATTTTTCTGACTTATGCATATATTCTTAGAAGTCTTATGTTGAATTCTGTAAGAGAGGGGAATAATGAACAAGAAATATCATTTTTAATTGTGAAGATTTCTGAAATAGTAGTCTATTATGTATATTTATGGAATATTTTTTAAATTAATTTTATAAAATTACAGATTGTCATTCCTTGTTGTTGACACAATATACAAATTAAATACTTTTGCATTTAAAATCAATTTACTTTCAGGTAGAGTGAAAAAAATTATGACTTTGTATTACCAACATTAAACTAATTTTTAAAATGGGAATTAAATATCAGTGCTGACTAAAGTATGTAGTAGTTATTTTCAACTGATTTGTACTTCCCAGCTATTAATGACATCTGTACAAATGGGACCTACCTCTGTTTCAAACCCCCCCTAAAAAAAGTAATAAGAGGGTTTTCTTGATGAGAAGCTATATGGAATGCATTACCTTTTATTTGAGACATAAACTGCAAAAATTGTAGCATCTTTCTGCTGACTAGGGTGCTGCTTCAGATTAAGTTTGGAGACAATAAATTGTGCATTTTTTACTTCATCAAACCAATAATGCCATCCATTGCATCTTTATCTCCTATTTCTGTTATGTTTGTTTCTACAATAGCAAAAAGGCAGTGTGTTTAGAAGCTTGAGAATAAAATTCTGAAAATCATATTCATCTTTTCCTGATTCAGGAATAATACAATTTGTGAAAGTTGTCGTGACATTGAGTTCGATGATATATGCATAATGACCAGAATTTTCTATACGTAGCAAGAGCTATTGTTCTTATAAATATAGCTACTAAATTATAATTTGAGAAGTTTTCTAGGTAATGTGATGAACTCATTATTAGCATTAAAAAGAAAAACAAATCTTTAAAAAAGAAAATCTGAAAGGTTTCAGATTTTAAATTACATCCAAAGGGGCATTTTTTTAACATTTTGTGTGTTATTTTTATTTATTAAATATCATGCTCTTTGCACTTAAAACATTAAATTCAGTTCTAGAGCAATGTCGGAAAATAATTTTAAATTGAGCATATCTTTAGAATTTCCGATACACAGCCTCACTTGCTGGAGATAAAAATATTTTTTTCTGTACAACGTTGCCATTGCTGGCTTTGAAATCTTTGAATTTGTTAATCAAAAATTCATTAAAGTATTACAAAATATGAAATCGATAATGAAACAAATTCCGGCTTCCAGATGGCCTATATTCGTAGTAGGATTATGTCATTCAAAATTTGATGGCTCTAGGTACCGTTGTTTTATCACAATGCTAGAAACATACATACAGTAAATAAAATTGTAGCGCTATTACAAATGATACACAGGAGTCACTAGACCAGTTGTTGAAATATATGCTTTTTACTTGTTTTTTTAAATATTTTAAGTTGCACTTCAAATGCTCTCATTTATATATTATTTCATTTTGCAGCCATTTTCACATATATGAAGATGCAGTAAAATGTTCTCTTGGAAGAATGCTGTAGCATCTTCCTCAGTTGTTGGAAAATTAAGAAGCCATTAGAACATGGCCTATTTATGTCCGTCATCTTCCTCAGTTGTCAATAAATCAAAAATTGTTAATAGATTTTTGAAAAACAAAACACATTGACAGGAGCCTGCGTACAGCTTTTCTCATGACAAATAAACTTGAGTAGTAGTTATTAATGCAAACATTACTCCAACTTTATAGGAATTACCGTATATACCCGCATATAAGTCGAGATATTTTGGACAAAATAAAGACTTCAAAGTGGGTGGGTCGACTTATACGTGGGGCCATAAAAAATTAAAAGAATCGGAAGTTCAAAAAATTCTTTATATAATGCAGTTGTTTTCTTCCCGCACTCAAATTGGACGACTTATCAGATAAGTCACTTACTTGAAGTAATTTCATGACTTAAATTATGTGACGAACTAATCACAGAGTTTCATACTTTAACTAGAGTAAGCTTCGATTAAACCAAAGAATTTTCGGCCCCCAAACTACCGATGAATATCGAGTGATAAAAAAGTTTCGCCAACACGCCAAGAAAAGAGAAATGCAGATAGTTTTTATGTACGTATAAGTCTTTTCATGAAATTGGGCAGAGTGGATTACAGGGTTGCCACGCTACCTGAAAAACCGGGAGAACCGGGAAAAGTCAGGGAATTCGAAAATTGACCAAAATATTCAGGGAATTTAAGTATTTTTGTCAAAATCTGGAAAAGTCAGTAAAGTTCATACAACGATCCCGCCAAAAAAAGCGATTTTTGCGCCGACGTCGGAAGAGGTAACTTTTTTGGCGAATTATGTATCACGTGAGTGTCATTCGGGTAGCTGGCATAGAGCCAATTTTTGCAGCTCCAATTTGATTGTCTTTTAGAAAGGCAAAGCAACTTTCCCGCAACTTTTGGTTTCCAGTATTCTCGAGAATCGCATGTGCAGTACATGAACTAAAGAAAGTACCTGTTCTCGTATAAAACAAAATGGGTTTAATCCTAGTATACGGTACTATGGAGGTTAGAATCAAAGAATATGTATTGTAAAGAAGGAAAACCTCTCTGCAACAGACGTGGCTGTGGCTCCGTTCCATCATAGAGGGAAACAGCTGTGCATGTCTGATATATCTGTCACCAAAGCTCGAAACCGGTGTCGAAGTTCGAAGGTCATGTTATCAAGAGTTCATAAAATGAATATCGTTTAAAATTTCTTTAACCACTTGCGCTAAAAAGACGTGCCACGCACGTCAAGATGCTTTTGTCTCAAACCCCGAGCGACGTGAACACCATGTCGATAAGCATTTATCGCAAAAATGAAAATAACATGGTGCACATGTCGCCTAACAACGAGATTGTTTATTTCTCGAGTTACAGCTCTGGATTGCATTCGCAGATGCGGAGCGGCGTAAATGAGACACTTTACCGCTTGTTATATTGTAGCGCATGGCACCGCAACCGTGAAGTTTAGTCTTAGTGCAAGTGGTTAAACTCTAAAGGAAAAGAAAATATTTTTTGGCGCAAGTAAATTAATTCATGGATTAGTTATTTTCCGAGGAAAAAAAAAAAAAAAACTACGAAAATCCGTTTTTAAAATTATTGCGAAAAATCCAAGAAGAAACGTCCTTTGATAAAACGTTTCTTCTTGGATTTTTCGCAATAATTTAAAAACGAATTTTCGTAGTTTTCTTTTTGTCAAAGAGCGTTTCTTCTTAACACGTGTTTCTCAATTTCCTGTACACATCGCGGAGAGGGAAATTCTGACCGCCATGTTCTGTCGCCAAATCCCTTGGCAAATTTTCCCTCCGCATTCTAGCGGCGTAATAGCATTTTACTTGTATGGAACCTTTTCTTCTTTACATAGACGTTCTTTGGTTTGGAATAATAATGGGATTTGGCGACATCTTGATGCGCAGTAAACGGGTCATTTTGGTCTTGGCGACAATTTTCAAAATCGTGCCAAAGCCTTACCGTATACTAGAATTTTACCGCAAAATCTTTTTAAACTTTTTTTTTTTTTTTTTTCTTTTTAATAAGTACCTTGCCATTTTACAGTAAAATAAAAAAATAGTAATCTGTCATCTAGACTAACCATGTAATATAACTATATTCGCTAAAATATCGTTGATTATTCTAATTCAATTTTTAAGTAATTATCTTTATTTTTATGTTATTCGTATAATTTAATGATGCTTCTTCCCTCTAAATTTATTTATTATTAGTAAATAATATTTCCAACAACAACTATTATAATTATATTTGTGTTTTCAAGTGTTAAGGTTTTAAGAACATACCTCACGCAAATTAAATTTACCTAAAATCTAACCTAACTATTTAGCATTGCGTTGTGATTTATAAGGACCGGATTAGCCTCGTATTGAACTGGTGATGATCATGAGTAATAATTAAATAAAACATACATTTGTTATCCAATATATATATATATCTTAAATTTTATTAAGTTTCTTAAGTGGAAAACTAAACAAAATTATCAAACAAAGTATACCAAGAATAATTAAGAATAAATGTCGTCTGGGATTTATTGAATAATTAAGTGAATTTGCTACACAATACAAGTAATACCATAATTAATTTACCTCTTAGCACAGCCAACGTACATTACGCGGATAGACTGGAATTTTCTTGAAACACACCTGGAAAACCTGGAAAAGTCAGGGAATTTCATTCTCCTGTTTGAGTGGCAACCCTGGGATTAGTTCCGGTCAACCAACATTTACAAAGGGAGGCAACATTAAAAAGCCCAATATTACATTAATTGCTCAGTGGGTTAAAGATGCTTGGAACGAAATACCCTCTGAAATGATTATAAAATCATTTAAAAAATGTTGCATTAGCAACGAACTAGAGGGCACGGAAGATGATACTGTTTTTGAAAGTGAAAATGACGACGAAGGCTCTAGTAGTAATTGTAACAATACAGAGTTCGAGACTGAAAATATGTATGATGACGAGCCAATGACGACTGAAGAGTTCTATGAAATGTTTGGCGAATCTGACCATGAATTGGACGTTGAAGTATTTTGATTTTGTTTATTTACCAAGGTATTTTTTATTGTATATTTACTTTTTTTTCTCAGATGATTTTGAATAAATGTAGTACTTAAAAAATGTTTTCGAAGTTTCTTGATCGATTTCGGAAGTGGGGGGTCGACTTATACACGGGTTTCTTATTTTCTACGAATTTTTTATGCCGAAGTGGGGGGTCGACTTATACGCGGGTATGTATGGTATAAATAATTGTGAATACTATAAAATTTATTATGTTGCATCACAAAATAAACAATATTACAGAAGTATAATACATATCAAAATTAATCTGCTCTTGCCTTTTTTGAAAAGCTTATAACTAAGTTTATTCCTGCAGTGGCTAAACAAATGACTTTTTTTTTTTTTTTCTAAATTTAAGTAGTTTACATTAAGACTGTCATTCATGATTTATTTCTCTTATTGGTTATGCTTAAAAACTATGACTCATAAAAATAGGGAAATAACTGAACCATATGAAGTGAAATTGTTCTTTTGAGCATAAATTCTCATATCTAAAGTTTTAAAAGAATATTGTACACACTGTGCAAGACTTAAAATGAACAGGCATTGGTTAATACAAGATTTTCTGTATATAGTTATACAACAAACCTGAAAATTATGCAGTCTCTGTAAGATTCACATGAGTACAGGAAAATAGTGTTAACATGTAGTAAATAAATAATGAGTTTTGAAAAACTCTCTTGATTAACAGGGTGCGGATTATCTGTGCTTTGTGGGTCAAAATCAACACTTGTTCTTCCTAATATAAAAATCTTAGATTTATCTAATGTGAAAAATTCGAGGCAATAACTGAAGCTGTATGACAAAAAATAATATATAAAAGTCTTCGGAAATGTCGGATCAGGAAAACATTGGTGAATGCTTTTTATGGCGACTCGACTGAGCTGGACTTTCAGTGCTGCAATGACGTGGATATCGTTTCAAATGTCAGAAGAGGAGGAGGGTGATACTGAAAATACAAGTGATGAAGATACTGACATTTGTACCAGTCCCGAGATGACAATGATTTTTATTGAAACTTTGTAGACCAATGGGGATTCAAATATAATGATAAAATAGCACTCTGAAAAATATACAGTGAAATCCAACAAATAATTAAACGCTTTCAAACATAAAGTAAAATTACTGATTTTTTTAAAGAAATAAACTCGTACAGTACGCAAGAAAATTCATCATTTGAATTATCCGTATTTTTCAATTACCCAGGACCTGCTTCCCTGGCACTAGAGTGGATAATCAAGAGTACACTATAATTTTAAGACTCTTCAAATTTAATGTTCAGGAAAACATCTTATTTGTTAAAAGGAAATATAAATGCATGTGTTTGTATATAAATATAGAAACCACATTATTCTCCTTTATGAAATTTAGTTGGAGACTGATGTTTAATGAACTGGAGACCATTAAATGATGTTTCTTGAGCTACACTGATGTAACAGTATTTTCAAGAAAAGTGTATTGAATCTTAAACTAATTGCATCTGAGTGTTTTAACCTTTATCTGATTGAGCATGTTTGGAATGCTTTAAGAAGACATGTGCTACATTTAATTTCTCTGTTCATAAAACAGAAAAGTCTTGTTGGCACAATAATTACCAGTTTAGCATAATTTAAATGCTATAATCATGGTCACTTTCACATCATGAAAAAAATATATTTTTGTCATTGTTTCCATATTATCTGTTTAATTTTGACAATCTTGTCTGACTTGTGTTAATTTCTATACATGTAAATATTAAGATTTTCCATAAATTTACATGAAAATTTTTCTCTCATTCATATTAATTGTATATATTTTGAATAATTATAATTTTTATATTTGCTAAATTTTGTGGACACGGTATAAAATGAATGAATGAAAGAAAATAATTACTTGTTTATTTTAATGATATATTTGAAAAATTTATACAAGCAAAAAGTACCAATATTAAGTATGATGTATTATTTCTTTTGAGAAATAATTATATATTTCTTTAACTCTCTTTTCAGGTAAAGCGTTTGAGTTTTTATACATTAAAAGGTGGTAAAACAGTAATTTGTATAAGTGCTATCATCATAGAACCACATGTTAAATTCAAGCCTAATAATTTCATGATGGGAATTTCTGCTATGATTTTCTGTATTCCTACTGCTTTCAAATGTCCTGAGGTATGTTTTATCTGTTTGCTGAATTTTTCTTAGATTTTTATTAAAATTTTGCATTTGACCCCATTTTGAAACTATTAAAGGTAATTGTTAAAGTGGCTGCTGCCTGTATTCGCCAAATTGTAAACTGCCCAGATTGTAACATGCAAATTTCAAGTGTTTCCAAAGGCTGCTTTAGTAGGAAGTAAAAACTAAATTGAAGACCAATGGCTTTTGTATTAGGAACTTAATATAACTGGAATTCAAAAGTATTTTGAAGATTTTTTTTATTAAACTTGATAATTTTGTTTCGTAATTTCAAAAACTATTCCATGTTGAAAGAAAATGCTATGTTCTAGAATTAATGTAATCTAAATTAAATTTTTCCATAAATTATCAATGATTTGTTTGCAAAAACTGTACATATGATAGGATTATATATTTGAACTTTGAGTAAAAAGTGCCATGCTATAAGAAATTTAAATATGAATGCTTGATAATAAAACTACTCAGATTTTGGGGCAGGAAATATTATTAAAAGTAATTTCAAATTATTATTAGTTGTGAAGGACTTTTGAATAGCAAAAACATTATTCTTAGACTACTTAAATGTTATTACTAAAATACAGAAGTACCTTTTTGTTTTGCATTAGTTATTAACTCGCCATTATTTGGCATTTAATTATGTTTGTTATTGTTATTATATAAATTTTATAAATGTATGATGAACATGGAAACTTTTTTTTTTCTTTCCTTTGAAGTATTAGTATTGGTCTTCTATTTTTATCTTTCACTTTAAAATCTAGACTTAATTTAAGACTATCTTATTTCTTTTAAACTCTTTTCTTGTGTATAATATGTTATTTTTGAGTATAACTGTTTTTGACTATCCACATCCCCAATTTTAATGTACAGTAGAACTGTTGTGCTTTTGGCAAAAATTTTTATACGTGACAATAGCCAACCCACACATGCATGTACCACTCATGTGTCTGAATACATTTGGATTTTTTTTTTCATACTTTAACGATGATTTTGCAAAACACTAATGATGATGCAGTGAAAGATACAAATTTTTTATTTCGTTCTTGATCTGGACATGTTGTGCCTACTTTTTCTAACAGTCTGCCAGTGTGCTTCTGGTTTTTGTTTTTGAATATGATTTATTTCAAATTGAACATGGAATGAATTTTAAGCATAGTATTTATTATAATTTATTTTGCATTATTACCACCACTTGTTTCTGCTTTCAGTCTGCAACTGGATTAGGTTTTGAATTGCTTTTTACTTTGTATTATGTATATATTTGTGCTATGTATATGTCTGTGTGAAATAATGTGGAAATATTGATTCATAATGAAGAACAAACTTGGCAGCCAAGGCAGATTAAATATTCATATTTATTTCAGTAAACATTTTATGGCCACAAACAAATTGGCGCAGTAATTATTTATTTATAAGAACATTTACATTTTTGATATTGTTGCGATAGGACAAAGCAGCATGGCAGTGTTTTAGCAAGAACAGGGGTAGAAGCAAAGTGCATATTTATCCATTATGGAAGCTTATTAAGAGAAAGGCTTTGGTTCTTAAAATCCTGAGTTCAAGTGTCCAATTAACTGTGTCATCAGCATTATACACACACTAGCCAATGAATTATAATCCCAAGATTAGAACCCATATTTTATTGGACCACCTGGTTGAACCCGATAACTGTTCTGGTTCGTTTGGGCGTCGAATCTACATACTTCTGGAGTGCATTTACATTCAGAGAATATCATGCAGTAGCTATGCAGCTTTTTAGATCTTGTAAATTAGATGGAAGAGGAGAGTGTTGTCATATGCGTCTTTTCACCATATCCCACACATTTTCTATGGGGGTTAAGATCCATGCTATGCAGTGGCTAGGGAAGGTGTTGGAAGTCAGACTGATGTTTAGAGAGCCAATTTTGAACACTTCTGGCTTGATGTATAGTTGTATTATCATCCATGAAATATACTTCACCATCAGGGTAAAAATGCAACATTGCAGGATGCACTTAATCTGCCAGTATATCTAGATACCTCATGGCTGCTTGTTCACACTTGAGGAACACCAGGACACCACTTCCATGCCAACAGAATATGCCCCATATCATGATACTTTCACCACACCCTTGCACAGTGCAAGTAAGGCAAGATAGATTCATGACTTCATGGGGTTCTCGCCAAATTTGACGTCTTCCATCAGTGAAAAATAAGGTGTAGCGTGATTCATTCGACCATATTACCCATTTCCAATCCTCAGATGTCATGTGTCTTCTTTCCTGACACCACTGCAAACAAATTCTTGCATGTCGGGCAGAAATGAGTGGTTTTCCCATAGACACCCAACTCTGCATTCCTATCCTCTGCAATTCTCTGTGCATGATTCAAGTTAAAATCTGTTAGGAAGAGCGTTGGTTGATAATCTGTGTCAGCTGAAGCACAGTAGAGTCACTGTTCTGCCATACAATTCGTCGGAGATACCGCCAGTTCCTCTCTTGGAAAATTGTGATCGAACCACAGTTAAGTCTTTTAGAGAAGGACTGTGGGTTCTGACTCCAATTTTTGAAAACCTTTGATATGGCTGCTTTTGAAAGCCCAGTGAGATTTGCTGTCTTCAAAATAGAGACCCCTGCTAAACGGGCACCAATAATAAGCCTGTTTTGAAATAGTAAAAGATCTGTTGTTTTTCCCATTTTACTTCATTCGTTGTGAAAAGCAGTCTTACACCTTACATAGACTATCATTCTAACCACTTGTAACCCATGTCATTAAAAATATTTGCATACTTCATCCCTAGCATGCATTCAAATGAAAATCTCAAAGGTTTCCAATTCATTGGCCAATGTCTGTATAAGTCATATGATATGGAATGATCTAGAAATGACACAGTCCAGAAATAGTTATTACTATTTTTAGAATTGAGAGGGGAAATACAGTAGACACAAATTAAAATACATTACACCCAAATTAAAATAAATTAAAGGGCTGTTTCTAATTTAAACCTTTGACTACGAATTTAAAAAAAAAAAGAAAGAAACCGTTTTGTATCCAAGTGAACAAAATATGCCATTTATAAGGTAAAATTAGCATTTGGGATTTTTTATTGGCAAATTGTTTTCAAGCCAAAGACTGCGACACATGTCCCAGCCATAGTTAATAGTGGGATACATATGTCCCACACATAGCAATTAACTTACTCTAAGCACACACCTATTATTCTGGAAAATGTTATTATATGAAATAGAATTTACATCATATGGTACAGGGTAAAGCATTCTTTGGGTAACCCAACATTACGCATTGGGCAACTCATAGTTGTTCATTTGTGTACAATTGAGCACAGCACCATCTTGATTTTCCAACTATTGGAAGATGATCCCCAACATTCAGGAGATTCTAAATACTTTTTAACCCAGGTTTAATTTTTAAACTTTTAGTGGGACATATATGTCTCATTAGTAGTCAAAGAGTTACAATATAATTTTTGTTTACATATTTTTATCTTGCATATTTATATATATTATTATTAGAGCCTTTCTGTCCACATAATCCCAGGAGTGATGAGATGCTTAAAACTGCTGAATTTAGTAATAAAACCTATGTGAATGAGTTGGCTGCAGGTTAGTTTTTGTGGTTTTTCTGCGCATGTAATGTGAATACAAGCCAGTTTTCTTTACAAAGTTCTCCATAAAGGCATTCACATTTTTTGGCAAATAGTCTTTGTTTGCTTTTCCATATTCAAATAGCCTAATTTCTGTACCCAAGGAAACTGATTTCAGAGTAGTTCCCCCTACATATTGTCATAAGTACAGGGGGGGGCAGTTCTATATCACCCGTTGTACTTGGGCCGATTGACAAAATTAAAGTTGCATTTTTCATGTCTCAAAAGCTTGACTTAGAATATGTATTACATTTATATATAGCATGGTTCTAATGTAGGTATTTTGACACAAAATCGGACTATTTCTTAAATGACATACTACCTTTTTTTCCGTATTTTGATTCTATGAACTCAAATTATGCCAAATTGCCAAGTTTTGTAAAAATTGCACAGGTAGTTTTTAAAAAATTAGCTCTCAAATTTTAGCTCCTCAGTGTTAATTGAATTTGATATATATTTGTTAATATCTTTTTTTATAAAACTTACTTGATTCCTTCCTTACTTGAATTACAGAATTTAATATCTTGGCATAATTTGAGTCTTAGAATCAAAATATGGAAACAAAATTGGTATGTTATTTCAGAAAAATTCTAATTTAGTGTCAAAATATCCATGTTAGAACAATGCTATACATAAATGTAATATATATCCTAAGTTGCGCTTTCGAGAAATGGAAAACGCAATTTGAATTTCGTCAGTCGGCCCAGTAGAACAGGAGATATATAACTGTCCCATTTTTTGTTTTTGCTCAGTATACCTACCCCTCCCAACCACACTCCTTAATCAAACTGAATACCTTTTGAAAAGAGAAGTAAATTGCATATTTTTGTAAAAAAAATTCCAGTTGTTTAGTACAGTGTGTTGTTTTGGTGACTTTAAATTGATGTAGTTTCTGCTGTATGTTATTCTGTTTTGTAAGTTTTCTTACTGTATTTTATATAGAAAATGCATGCTTGTTTATTTGTTGCTGACTTTGTATGAAACATATGTAAGTAATCTTTAAGCATACTCTAAAATATCATGCTGAACTTCAAAAATGTTTTGCACTCTGTGCTTATAATAGCTGTAAAATTTTGTTGCATTTGTTAGGGCAGATAAAAGTATTTGGAATTTAGTCCATGTTTTGTGGATATACTCTCAACTCCTGATTAACAGGATTGCAAACTACCTAGAGCTTGTCTAAAAAATTTTTTTTATTATTGAAGGATGGAAAAATTCTATCTCAAGCCATCAGAGTTAAGCAAAATTTTTGCAGAAAATGCAGAAATGAGATGAAAATGTACAGAATAACAACATTGATGCCAAATGATGTCACAGTATTTCGGAATTGTTTTTATCTGAAACAATACTTGCACATAATCAAGAATATTTATAATATTCTAGTTACATAACTGAAGAATGTGGTAAAAATTTGATGGTGATATTACTGATGAACGCTGTTACATAACCATGTGAATTTATGCTGTAAACTGAACTGCTTCAAACTATTAAGTAAACAGCTAATAGTATTTTTTGTTGATTATTGTTTGGGTTATTTCTCTTTCCTGTGGTTTTAACTGCTGTCAGATTAATAGTGATTTTGGGTGAAGTGGTAAATCAGAAGTCTGTTGTAGCTCAGAACTGCAGTGCTAAATAACTTATATTGTGCATTATGGTATTTCAGTCGACAGCTGTGCAGTGTGCATTATGTTGTTTTTCAGTTTAAGTAAATTATACAAATGTTGGAGATCCGATATGCATATATATATTTTTTTTCTGTTTTAGGATTTTTGTGAAGTAACAGCACAATTTGAGATATTACTTGTGGAACAAAAGCATTTGGGCTCGTTCCCATTGTATGCTGTTTTCCTGCAATCAAAACAGTCTTATAATGCTGCAAATAGTATCACTTCATTTTTAAATTTGAAGAGAATTTCAGAAAATTTTTCAGCTGTGAAAATGAGTAATAGCTTTGAAATTTCAGATTATGTCAACAGTTCTAAAGAAGTAAGTTTGTAAAGTTAGCTTATTATATGTACCTGTTTTGTAGTTTTTTTATGTAATTACCCTGGTAGCTTTTTAAATCAATATCATAAATTATGTGTATAATTATCTGTATTTTGAACTGTAAAATGTTCATTGATTATGGTTTGAATAGTGATTTTTTAATATGTAATTTTTAGAAATACGAAAATGTTAATAGTGACCATGTAATTTTAGAATGGCTCAAAAGTATCCTCAAAAGTATATATAAGTTTTTGTAACTAATTGCTCACCCTTAGAAGTTAAGATGAGTTATTATCTTTTCTTAATCCTTACTGTGGACATAAGATATAACACGAAACTGTAAAAATTAATATAAAACTATTCATTAGAAGATTTAGGAAGTAATTTACCACCTCTCCTGCTTCAGAGGCTTATTGGAACTTTATATGAAATACTCTGTATAAATGGGATTATAACTTCAGTAATTCTACACTGAACCTATGGCACTAACTGTGTTAGACAAAATACATTTAACTTTCAGTACATAATTGTCTTGCCAATGGCAGGTGTTTATCATTTGTGATCATCATCTCTCTCTCTTAACAAGCAGCAGCAGTGGCAACAACCAAGCTTCTGTTACAAATCAAGCTGATTTATGATTTTGCTTCTCATTTTAATCTATGCTGCATATTATAAAGTTTGCATAAACCTTTCGACTGAACGAGTATGTGATGAAACAAGGCGTGAAAAAAGCATAATAATCTAATAAAACTAATTGTTAGCAAAACTTAAACATCGCTAATCTTCTTTAAAATATGCACGACTATTATAAGTCTAAAATATAAATAATATAAGTATAAATTTTGGAGGAATTTTGCAATTTAATGTTGATTTCCTGATAAATTTTACAAAGTTGATTTTGTTCTCGAAATTTTTTTTATAGTTACATTAAGTATTAAATTCTGTTTAATAATAATGTATCCTACTTGCATATTTGTTTTATTCTTAAAATGGTATTACAAAATGAAGTTCAGGTATTGATAATTGCTTTAGTTTATTCAGTTCCCTTTGCTGATAGTTCATAAATTCTTTTATTAATGTTCTTAAAAGTACTTAATTTCAATGTACTTAAATGTGTATGAACCCTGTATCAATAATCTAATTTTATTAAATTGGTATGTCTAAACATAATATTATCAAGCTCTGCTTGGTTTCAGTATGTATAGTTATGTTTGCTGATTCTTGAAATTTTAAGTATATATATAAAGGAGTTTACAAATATTTCTGAAATATAGTTGAACTAATGCTACCCATCAATTAAAATAATTCTATTTGCATCATGGTCAGTAATGGTGTGGAATAAAGTTGCTTACATTTCCATAATTACACCAGTGAATCTTGAATTTCATATTGTGTTAAATAAAACCACTTCGTTTCTTCTAACTACTTTATGAATCAAATGTATTTACAAGTATATTACAGAGTGGTTTGAGTTACATAATAACTGTTTTATAAAACACCTCTGTATGTGACCACACTCAACCACTCTCTTCACTCTCTCAACTCTCTCTGGCGAAAACTATTAATTAGCTAAACATACAAACCTCTATATCTTTTTTCTACATCCCTCCCCACCTGTACTCTTTAATAAGAGTACACAAACTTACTTACATAACAATATTAACATTAATTAATAATGGTTTAATACTAAATAGTACAATGCATATAAATGATTAATCTATACTAATATAAATCAAAACAAAATGAACATTGAGTAATAGTATAATAATAAAACTCTAATAATATCAAAAGTTCTAAATTAAATTTCGAAAAGATATAACATCTGGATCAATCTTTTGAATTGTTCTTTTCGGGTGCAAACGAGGCATGCTTGAACATGTCCATCTCGTTCTTTAATTACAATTTCAATCACTTCCATGTCCCAAAGTAGTTTGGATTGTTTTGGTCTTTCTACTAACACAATGTGTCCAGTCTTAAGGTTCCGCTCAGTTGTAGGATTAGCAAAGATATGCACATTTCTAAGATGGAGTAAATATTGCTCTTTCCATTTGATCCATATTAATTTTAAGAGCCTAGATTGGTTTTGTATAAAGACTATCTATGTATAAAGACTATCTATCATATGTACCTGTTTTGTAGTTTTTTTTTTTATGTAATTATCCTGGTAGCTTTTTAAATCAATATCATAAATTATGTGTGTAATTATCTGTATTTTGAACTGTAAAATGTTCATTGATTATGGTTTGAATAGTGATTTTTTAATATGTAATTTTTAGAAATACGAAAATGTTAATAGTGACCATGTAAATTTAGAATGGCTCAAAAGTATATATAAGTTTTTGTAACTAATTGCTCACCCTTAGAAGTTAAGATGAGTTATTATCTTTTCTTAATCCTTACTGTGGACGTAAGATATGCAGTAGAAGTCTGATAATTCGGCACGTTTGGGACCCCCTCGGTGCCGGACTACCGAAAATTCCGGTCTATTGGGCTGTAATTATAAGAACAATTAGGTTAATAATTAAACTAAAAATACAGTATGCAAATACATACAACAAAGTTTATTTTACATTTCATATAATTTTCTCAAACTCGTCTTTGTATTTTTCTGCAGAGTTTTGGTTTGCTGAAAGGGTTTCTCCAGTTACATCAAGTCTTCGAATTCCATGCCGAAACTTAAAAGTTTCTGAGCCAACCATCAGAATAATTACATTCACTTTCAGCAACTCTAAATCTTGGCCGAATTTCTTTGCCTTTTCAATAATCATTGGCCCTGTTACCGGCTTTCCTTCAGAACGTACTGTACTAAACCATTTGAACAATACACTATCTAGCTGTTCCAGTTTTGTTTTTTTTAATGTTTGTCTAGAAGCCAATTTTTCAGTTGTTACCGATTGAGAAGCAAACTTCATTAGTTCATCTTTTTGTTTTTTAATGTCATAAATAGTTGATGAGCCAATATTAAACTCATTCATTAAAACATTTCTATTCTCGCCTTTTTCTAGCCGTTTGATGATTTCTAGTTTCTGATTGAGAGTCAGTGTTACGTGTTTTTGTTTCTCTCCTTTTGAACTCGAAGGCTTAGGTTTTGAAAACATGGTCACTGTACAGTTAGAATGAAAATCACTTTTTTTATAAACAGTTTCAAAAGTTACGTTTACTGCGATGTGAAGGGACACAAAACAACAACGCACAAAAAAAATGGCAAAGACGCTTCGTGATTGATTAATGGAGCTGCACTGCACCTGAATTTGTTGTGACAGCTGAGACTAGCTGGCCGCTAATTGTTTCCGAACAATACCGAGCGCTTCCGGATGATCTCGAACTACCCCGAAAACTTCCGAATAGCTCTCGAGCGGTTTTATTTGCTTTAAAGACACACTTTTGGAGAAAACCAAAATTTTCACAATTTTCCGGAGCGATGCCGGACTGTTGGATGCCGGACTAATGGACTTCTACTGTAACACGAAAATGTAAAAATTAATATAAAACTATTCTTTAGAAGATTTAGGAAATTTAGAAGTTTATATTAAAATAATATAAAATAATTTACCACCTCTCCTGCTTTAGAGGCTTATTGGAACTTTATATGAAATACTCTGTATAAACGGGATTATAACTTCAGTAATTCTACACTGAACTTATGGCACTAACTGTGTTAGACAAAAAACATTTAACTTTCAGTACATTATTGTCTTGCCAATGGCAGGTGTTTATCATTTGTGATCATCATCTCTCTCTCTTAACAAGCAGCAGCAGTGGCAACAACCAAGCTTCTGTTACAAATCAAGCTGATTTATGATTTTGCTTCTCATTTTAATCTATGCTGCATATTATAAAGTTTGCATAAACCTTTCGACTGAACGAGTATGTGATGAAACAAGGCATGAAAAAAGCATAATAATCTAATAAAACTAATTGTTAGCAAAACTTAAACATCGCTAATCTTCTTTAAAATATGCACGACTATTATAAGTCTAAAATATAAATAATATAAATATAAGTTTTGGAGGAATTTTGCAATTTAATGTTGATTTCCTGATAAATTTTTAATGTTGATTTCCTGATAAATTTTTAATGTTGATTTCCTGATAAATAAAGAGACTTTAATTAGCTTCCTCCTAATTAAAGTCTCTTTGTGTGACACCTTGTTAAAAAATTTCAAAAAATGCTTGGGAAAGTTAAGTGTATCACATCCTGGCAGTAAAAAACTGTAAAGGTGTGAGCTGGCGAGTTTCTTCACCCAGCTCGTTGCTCTCATATTTTATAGGCCTATTGTTTAACACATGCTCGAGTTTAGTTAATATTGTAGAGAGCTCTTTGAAAGTCAGTAATGCTCTCCCTAAGATTTTCTTCAGAGGTTCCTTGATGCTTCTCATCAAACATTCCCAGAACCTTCCCCACCATGGCGCACGCTGAGGTATGAATTTCCATGTTATTCCTTCAGGTGTCAAAAAAATCTCTTACACTTGGCTTTACGTGATTCTTTTAAATCCCTTAATTATTTCACATGTGCTGCAAAAATTCCTTGCATTATCTGAATAAATCACTTTCCAGCTCCCTCTTCTTGCTAAAAAACATCGTAATGAAAAAATGAAACTTTTTGCTGACATATCTGAAACTACTTCAATATGTATAGCACGAGTGACAGCGCATGTAAATAAGGCTATGTATAATTTTTTTGTGGATATCTGCCTTTTCTTTAATAGTAACCGCTCCAGTTAAGTCAATACCTACTACTGTGAAAGGATTACTTTGGACTACACAATCTCTTGGTAACTGACCCGTTAATAACTGTTTGGCTGGCTTTACTGCGAACTTTTTACGCACCAGGAAAGCGTTAATAACTTTCTTTTACTACTTGTCTTCTTTTAGATATCCAAAGTTTATTCCTGACTTAGACAATGTTGCCATAACTCCTGAATGGAATACTTTTATGTGTTCACTAAATATCACTAGTTCGGCGAACTTCGACTTTTGCAGTATAATAGGATGTTTTTAGTCATCTATTAATTCTGCTTGTTCCAAATGACATCTGACATTCAAAATAACTCTACTGTCCAGATATGGTGCTAAACTGTAAAGCTTCGAATCTGGTGTTATTTGATTATTCCCCTCTAATTGTTGAATATCCAAAGAAAAATTCTCTCTCTGTGTTTATTTTATCCAGTACTCCTCAGCTTCTTGGATTTCCAATACTGTAAGAGGACTTTCTTCACAGGTACGTTTTCTTAGCTTGGCGACAAACCGCCTTACTTACCCAAGCTGTAATCTCAACAATTTTTCCAGACTGCTGAATTTGGTAATGTTTAACACGGTTTCTCCATCTGAAACAGTCACCTGAACATAAGTGCTTAAACATTCCAAATTTTGAGTATCAGTTTCTACTTTAAACTTCTGCTCAGGCCATTGATCTTCAAAATCTTTCAACCATGATAGCCATGCTGTTACTTGTTAGCCTTCACCCACGCATTTGCTGTTTCACCACGAGTTAACTTATCTACTGTCTGACATTGAAAAAGTCTTTAATATAATTTAAAGTAACAACAAAACTGTCACATCCTTTGTGAACTCAACACCACATGAATTCACTCAAACAAGTCTAAGTTGGTGCATAATGTCTTTTATTGCACTATTTTCACAAACGTTACAGTCTTTTTAATGTTTTAATTATGCACAATAGTATAATCAGTGCCATAAAAAAACTCCACTGTTTCTTATTCTGTAGAAGGCTGGTCCCAAAATTTAATCCTTTTTCAAAACACAAGAGAAAAAAAAAAAAAATGAAAATTAACTTCCTTGCAAAACTTAGCGTAGTTTACTGAAGATCAGTGTTTCATAAAACCAAAACTAAGTTCTCGTAAGTGTGTGTGTATCATGGCACATTTATCCATTATTCATGATAAATTGCACTGTATGGTGACATTGTTTATAATGGTTGATGGCAAAATGCATAAATACCCTTATTGTAATTTATAAATTAATCAGTGCTAGTTAAAATGTGACACTTTGTGTAGAATATGACTTACAGTATAAATAAATAATTGGATTTGTATTCAAATATTTGTGGGCATTTATTATTCTGTGAAGATTCTTAAAATTTGTAGAAAATTGCAAATGAAGTGTAAAATGATTGAATTTTTTAGATTGTTTCTGTTGTGAATTGGTTAACTGAAAATCTAGAAAACCTGCCACCTATTGACAATTGCTGTGTACAATATTATTTAGAAGATTCTTATGCTTTAGCCTTCAATTCTGTATGTTGGAAACTTTCTTTGGAGGAATATGAATCACTAAAATTGGTGAGTATCTCAATTAGTAGATATGTGTGGTGGGAAAACAAGGAGGGCAGGGTAGCCACGCTACCTGGGACCCCAAAAAAAGTCAGGGAATTCGAAAATTGACCAAAAAATTCAGGGAAAAGTCAGGGAATTTAAATATATTAGTCAAAATCTGGAAAAGTGAGGGAATTTCATACTTCTATTTCCCCCCAAAAAAGCGAGTTTTGTGCCAACGTTGGAAGCGATCACTTTCTTGGCGACTTATGTATCGCATGAGCATCATTTGGCCAGCTGGCATAGAACCAGTTTTCGCAGCTCCAATCAGATTTTTTTTTTAGAAAGGCAAAGTAAGTTTCCAGTAACCTCGAGTATCGAGAGACTCCCGTGCGCATATGCAGTGCATGCTGAAGTAAGGAGAATACATATTCTCATATAAAATAAAATCGATTTAATCCTACTATAGAGTACAATGGAGGTTAGAATAGCCTACATGTACGGTATACACGGGATTTGGAGATATGATGATGAGTAGTAAATGAGTCATTTTTTGTGTTGGCGACAACTTTCAAAATCGTGCCAAGGCCATAGCATATACTAGGATTTTACCGCAAAATCTTTTTACCCCCTCCTCCCATTTTTTTAATAAATGCCTTATTTGTCATTTTGCAGTAAAATAAAAAAATAGTGATCAGTCATCTAGGCTAACCATTTAATGTAACTATACTCGCCAAAATATCGTTGATTATTTTAATTCAATTTTTAAATAATTATTTTTATTTTAATGTTATTTGTGTCATTTAATGTTGCCTTCTTCTCTCTAAATTTATTTATTATTTATTAGTAAATAATATTTCAAATTTCAGGAAATTTTCTCTTGCATAATACTGAAATTAATTCTAGCAGTGTGATGACATACCATCACGAAATTTAATGCACATATTTTTTTGCTTATGTATGCTACTAAATAAATATAAAATACCTGAATTTATTTTAAAATATCATTAAATGGATTTTTCTTTCGTTTAGTTGCAAAATGTCTGCAAAAAAAGACATTTTTTAATCTAGATTAGGCAGATTCTAATCTCAATCTTCAGTGGAGAAAATAACTATTATAGTTATGATAGTAATGCTTTGAGGATTATATATTATAAGTCATATGTAATTGGCAAATTTTTGTGTTTTCAAGTGGTACCATAATTAATTTCTCTCGTAGCACAGCCAATGTGCATTAGGCAGATAGACTGGAATTTTCTTAAAACACACCTGGTAAAACCTGGAAAAGTCAGGGAATTTCATTTTTCTGTTTGAGTGGCAACCCTGGGAGGGATTATAATGATTTTGTAGAAAAAAATTTATGCAAAATGTCCCCCTTCTCTCTTGATTTTTCTGGATATGAATGTTAAAAATCTGAAACTTTCAGAAAGGAGAGTAATGATTTTTCACTATTTTTGTCTTGAAAACTGACCATTAATTGTGAATTTACTAATAAATAATAGCTTTTTTATTGCTTAAAAAAATTCTAATTTTCTGAATAATTTTTATCTTTTCAAGCTCTGACCTTATGGTTCTTCATTACTTTTAATACTTGACATGATTTTACTTCTTCTACCTTAGAACAAACTTTTTTGCATATATATTTGCTTACATTTTTCAGCCAAGCTTTTAATCATATTGCTTATTGCATGTTTTGGGTGCCATGAGTGTAATGCCATGTGATATTTTTGTATTTTATATATATGTTAAATTGGAGAGATCTGTAAACATTGAAAAATTGTCTAATAGTCTTAAAAATTTCAATGCACATCGCTCTCTAAGTAGATATGCAAATAATAGAAAATGCCTTGCCAGCGAATGTACAGAGTGGGTGTTTGTGTTATTAAATAAGAATGCTCTGGTGGTCCATCTGATGATAGTACAATGAAGTGAGTTCAACAGAGATCCCGCTACTGTCTTTAGGAATGTTGCTTGATCATTCCTATAAAATATCTAGCATGAGTATTGGAGCAATGAAGATGTAGCTGATGTTTCCATTGACATTCATAACTATCATGATGGCAACTTCAGACTTAGAAAGATATCTTCTGAGGGAAATCATGAATTAATGAGAGTTGTTATAACCATATTAACAGTTTTGCTGCCTAATATTCAGAACCACTTAAAACATGCTTTCATTTTTAAAAAAGAATAGTAGGAATTGAATTCATTGTTGACATTTTTTGCGATATCTACCATTAATGCTCAACCATCAATAGCTGTGCATGTGGCTATGAAGCCTGGAGTGTGTTGAATGGGCTATGTTGTGTTCAACATTCAGTCACAATTTTTACTTTGTTCAGACTTGTGTGTAGAGAGGCCTAGCCTATGTTGTTCACATCACTGTGAAGCATCATAACTCATCATATCTGCCATTTAGGAGCACTATTCCTACAGTATTAAGCCATATTTAGTCATCCTTTACAGCATTTTGACTCTGTTGTAATATATGGCTCTGTTAAATTCTTCTTTTATTGTCAGTATTGTCGTATTTGTTAAGAAGCATCTTTCAACAAAATAGTGTGTTATCTGCATATGGCAGACATTCCCAATGGATGTCTGCTTAATGTTCAGAGCCCTGCAGGATATCCAATTCATCTTTCCTTATATGAACATGCACATGACATGTCAAAATGCTGTTTACAATCATCGTGCATGATGCCTGAACTTGTTGAGGAAATACAGAATACCTGAAAAAAAATTCTTCAGAACAGCATTTAGTTTTTGGGGGTTATAGAATAGAATGGAATTTTTTTTTTTTTTCCGACATTTTGTATTAATATATGATAGTTCTGGAATAGTTTAATCAGTAAATCGAGAGATTGTTATCTAATTTTATGTTATTTAATTTTTTTTTTATTTCTTCAATACTTATATCTAGTTCCATCATGATCGCACAGTTTTTTAGGTGCGTGGATTTATATATGTTATGTATGTATACATACTACTCTTTCCTTTGCCGACGGGATAGCCGGTCTGCTTAGGAAAGGTGCTTTTCAGCCTGTATAGTTCCTATCCATGGCTAAAAATCATTTCTTAGTGCCTTGAATCAAGTTCCTCAGTCTGTCTTTTCAAGAGAAAACAAGTGATGGACTTAAGAAAAATAAAATAATAAATGAAGAGGAGCTGGTGAACTAACTTGAAGACTTAGGAAAACATGCACAAGATAAGAAGATAATGTGAATATAGTTCTATGCAAGTGCCGAAAATTTTAAAGGCAACATGCCATGCAGCCATGGCACTATGGCGAGAATTATATCATGGCTTCGACTTGTTCGAAATCAGAAGTGAAATGTTAGTGCATTCCTTAATACGCTTAACAGCATATAGGTTACTGAAAATGTTTCTATCCCAAACGTAGCAAGTAGTGTTTATTAGCTGGCTTCCAAAGGTGAAATCTTGCTGTTCATTACATCTTCGATTGCCCGGTAATGATCTGAGTCCCCAGCTGTTCTGAAGATGCATTGTTCACTGTCATGAAGTCTGAAGTGGTTTAAATAAGTCAAATAAGGGCTATGTCCAGTGAGGAATTGTGTTAACTCCACTGTTCCACTCTAGAATTCCCTGCCGACTCTAGGGATGTATTTGTACTCTCTTCTTGTGGAGTCCTCATTCCAGCTAGTCAGCCATTGTATAGTCAAATTGTCAAGTCAGCCAAATTGAGTTGACAATTTGTTGTGGACTTCATATGCGAGCTTGGGACTTGCATGTAGAGGGTTCTTGTGTTTGGGTTTATCGTTGCTTGTTTTGTTATTTCATCGGCATTCATTCATTCATTCATTCATTCGTTACCCAAAAACTCCAGTACATGCACAAACCCATTTATGTTTTGATCTCTTTTCTTCAGCAAGGAAAGCAGTAGTCTCTGAACCTCTTTCACTATTTAGATTTTGCATCGTTGACCTTGGATGGCCGATGGCCTGGAGGCTGAGTCACTATATATTATTAAGGGCTATTCTGTTTCAATGTTGAATTGTATAGCTGCTGTAAGAGCAACTAGCTCAGATTGAAAGACTGAGTTGTTGGGACTTAGCCTTTGGATTACATTGTTCCCTAGTATTTCACAGAAACCACAGCCAGTACCTTGCTCTTCTTTGAAGCCATATGTGTACAAAGCAGGATTTTTCAGTGATGGAGAAGGTTTCAGTTCAATTTCAATACTAAATTCTGTTGGTTACCAGGATGTTGATGTGATATTTGATTCATAGTCAGTGTGAAAATGACAGTTTCACAGTGTTGTGTTGCATTTTAATCTCTGTGTCTGAACAACTGCACATTCTCTTTGTATCATGAGATGAAATAAGGCCAGCCAAGCTAGCACATTCAGGGCATTATTGGGTGATATGCAGTATTCCTAACAGATGCTTAGTAAAAATGGTCATTGCATCGATCTAAGTTGATTTATCATATGCAAGCCGAACGTGAAGGCCCTGTACAATGCTACTCTTTCTGCTACTACAGAATGCCAAATCTTAAGCATTTGTAAGGATACCTCCCATTGAGGGGGGGGGCTGTTGTTCTGAGCATTGAATTTGATAATTTATGCAGTCTTTCTTTAATGTAGGAAATGTGCTGGTGCCTGGTGAGTCTGTCATCTATAATTACACCTAAATATCTTAGGTGTTGAACAGTTTTAATGTTATTCCCGCCTATTTTAATTCCTGAGATGCGATTATATCTTCTTCCATGGTTTATCATCAGTCCCTGCGTTTTAGCCACTGAAATTGTGAGTTTGTGATTTTCTGCCTGGTTGACAAAGTTATCCAGTGCGTATTGGGCACACATTTCATAGTCTTGTGTGTTGTGACCTATGGCTATCAGCAAGAAATCATCCGTGTAGGCAAGTATTTCGATGTCATTGTTGTCGTTAAAGAGCTTGAGAGCAGAATCAGCTACGAGGTTCCAAAGAAATGGTCCTAGACATGATCCTTGTGGACAGCCTCTATTAATGTTTGATGAGTAGACTCCTTCGTCTGTTGTGGCCTGAA